TCAACAAGCAACAAGTGCTGGCGAGGATGTGGAGAAAGGGGAACCCTTCTGCACTGTTGGTGGGAATGCAGACTGGTGCAGCCACTGTGGAAAGCAGTGTGGAGTTTCCTCCAAAAATTAGAAATGGATCTGCCTTTTGACCCAGTGATCCCACTTCTGGGAATATATCTGAAGGAACCCAAAACACTAATTCGAAAGAACATAAACATCCCCATGTTCATTGCAGTGTTATTCACAATCACCAACATATGGAAGCAGCCCGAGTATCCATCAGTAGAGGATGAAACAACTATGGGACATGTACACAATGCAATGCTACTCAGCCGCCAAAAAGAAGGAGGTGTTACCCTTTGCAAGAGCATGGATGGACCTGGAGAACACTATGCTCAGTGAAATAAGCCAGGCAGAGAAAGACAAATGCCATATGATCTCACTCCTATGTGGAATCTAATGAACACACTGATCTAACAAGGAAAATGGGGACAGACTCATAGATATTGAGCAGATGACAGGTATCTGTCCGGGACAGGGTAGAGGGGGTGTTGTTGGGTGGATACGGGTGGAGGGATTGAATAAAAAGCAAAAAAAGACGACGATGTTATGGACATGGCAACAGTGTGGTGAGTGCCAGAAGGGAGGGGTTGGGGAAGCGGAAGAGAGAATAAAAAAAGTAAAGCTGAGGACTTTTTGTTCTATTTCTTTAAAAAATTTCATTGAGATTTTGGTGAGGATTGCATTAAATCTGTATATTGCTTTGGGTAATAAATATGGCCATTTTAACTACGTTTGATTCTTCTAGTCAGTGAACACAGAATACCTTTCATTTCACTGAGTCTTTTTCAGTCTCTTTTGATAATGCTATGTAGTTCTTAGTACATAGGTTCTTCACAACCTTTGTTAAGTTTATTCCTAGGGTTTTTTGTTGTTGTTGTTGTTGTTGCAATTGCAAAGGAATTGTTTTTTTCCATTTCTTTTTCTGAAATTTCATTGTTAGTATATAGGAATGCAGTGCATTTTTGTACCTTGATTTTGTATCCTACTTCTTTACTGTATTTGTTTGTTCCCATATTTTTTGGGTGGGGTCTTTACAGAGTTTTCTATTTAAAGAGTCATGTCCTCCTGGTCAGGTGGCTCAGTAGATTAGAGCATCTTCCCATATACCAAAAGGTTGCAGATTCAATACCCCATTAGGGCGCCTACCTAGGTTGCAGCTTTAATCCCCTGTCAAGTGCATACAGGAGGCAACGAATCAATGTTTCTTTTTCACATTAATGTTTCTCTTTCTCTCTCCCGCCCCCCTAGCCTCCGCGCCCCGCCCCCCTGCCGCCTGCCTTTCTAAACTCAATAAGCATATCCTTGGGTGATGATTAAAAAAATAAAAGAATCATGTCATGTGCTTTAAAAAAGTGAAAATTTTACTTCTTCATACCTAATTTAGATGCCTTTTATTTCTTTCTCTTGCCTGATTGCTCTGGCTAGGACTTCCAGGCTGTTGAATAGAGCAGAGAGAATGGGCATTTTTGTCTTGTTCTTGCTCTTAGAGGAAAAGGTTTCAGTTTTTCACCATTGTGTATGGTATTGGCTGAGGGTTTGTCATATATGGACTTACTATGTTGAGGTACTTCTGTACCCATTTTATTTACTTTTAATCATGAATGGATGTTGTATGTTATAAAATACCTTTTCTGCATATTGATAAGGTCATATGATTTTTATTCTTTTTTTGTTAGTGTGGTCTATTACATTGTTCAATTTGCATATGTTGTGCCATCCTTGTGCGCCTGAAATGAACCCCACACTTGATTGTTATATGTTATTTTTTTTTAGTGTATTGTTGTATTCAGTTTGCTAGTGTTTAGTTTAGGATTTTTGGATGTGTATTTATCAGAGACATTGGTGTGTAGTTTTCTTTTTTGTGTGTTATTCTTGCTAGGTTTTGGTATCAGTTATTATGTTGGTCTCACAAAAGTGTGTTAGGAAGTATTGCTTCTTCAGTTAATTGGAAGAATATGAGAAGGATAGATATCAAATCATCTTCGAATGTTTGGTAGAATTCACTAGCAAAGCCATCTGGTCCTGCACTTTTACTTTTGGGGAGGTTTTTGGTGGTGGTTTGAATTTTCTCACTGTAGGTGGAGGCGGCCTGACTCCTCACCCAGATGCGTGGGGAACCGGATGGAGCAGCTTCTTACGGCCTCGGAGGAGCCTGAGAAAGCAGTGTTCCCACAGCCTTGAGCCTGGGTCTCAGGCCTTGAGCCCGGGAGCGATAAATTGCCCCATAGCCTTAGTAGGCCCGCATGCGCAGCTCATGCTGGGTCACTCCACCTTCTGGCCTGCAGCCGGCTTTGTTTGGGGCTAGCACTTAAGAGGTAGGAGCTATGGACGAGGCGGGGAATCGGGGTGCCAACTTGGACACGGGCTTGTGGTCTGTGTGACTCTCCTGAATAAAAGCATGTCAAACATCCCCACGGCTCCATGCATCTTCTTCCGTCTACCTGAGCCCTGAGTGGACCTGCCCAGCCTCGGGAGGCTGCAACACACTGTTGATCTATGTAGATTTTCCACTTCTTTGTGATTCAGTCTAGAAAGGATATATAAGCAACTGAAGTGTCCTTCGAAAAATGATCAGATAAAGTAGATGTCATATGTATATACAATGAAATATTAGCCATAGGAAAAGACAAAATACTGCCATTTGCAAAAATATGGATGAGTCTTGAGAATATCATGCTAAGCAAAATAATTCGAGTCAGAAAAAGTCAATAATCATATTATTTCACTCATGTGAGATCATTGAAAGCAACGAATAAAGAAACAAAAACTCATAGGCTCAGACAACAATATGCTGTTAACAGAGGGAAGCAGGCAATAAAGGGGTCAGATATATGGTGACAGAGGATGTGACTTTGGATGGTGGGCACACAATGCAGTGCACAGATGATGTATCATAGAATTGTACACTTGAAACCTCTATAATTTTAGTGAGCAATGTCACCCCAATAAATTTAATTTAAAAAAATATATCAGGAAAAAAAGTCAAAGTGAATGGCACCTGTCCTACAGTTTTTTAAGCTATGTTATCTTTTTAGGATCCAGTGCACTTAGTCGGTCCAGACTCTGGAGCAGTAGATCATAATTATCAAACAGTATCTATGAAATTATTTTATAGTCTACATTTATTATTTATTGTATAATGCAAAGTGAGACGATTATAACTCTGAGAACACTGGGGTGTTGAAAATTTTTCAGGTGTCAGTACACTTGAAAAGTGTTTTTCTTGTATCTAGGGAGTCAAGTTGAATCTGGTGTTTTAAAGATTTTATTTATTCATTTTTAGACAGAGGGGAAGGGTGGGAGAAAGAGAGGGAGAGAAACATCAGCGTAGTTGCCTCTCGCGCGCCCCCTACCGGGGACCTGGCCCGCAACCCAGGCCTGTGCCCGGACCCGGAACCGGAGGAGCGACCGTTTGGTTAGCAGGCCAGCGCTCCATCCACTGAGCCACAGCTGCCAGGGCCGAATCAGGTGTTTTATAAATAGCTCTTAAATGTTGTAAGAATGGGCATCCTTCATATAATCACTTCAGAGCTTTAGTATCAAAATATCTCAGGTACATAGGAGAGCATTCTTGGCTGGCATCCTTTTAATGTGCTTTTTATCAACATCTGACACAGATATGGAGTGGAAATCTTGTTATTTCTGTAGTGAATACCTACTGGGTATAAGAAATCAAAAGTGGTGTATTTGGGGAAGTTATGCCTAGATAAATCATCCTGGGATGCTAATATGTACTAGAGAGGGGCTTGAAGTGGGCAATACAGGAAACAGTTTCTCTGATTAATATTGTCTTCATGTTACCCTGCGTAATTTGAACAGGAAATTGCTTAAACTGTTCCTGTAGCTTTCCTTGCACTGCTCAGAAAATACAGAAAAATGTGTCAGAAATGAAATAAAGGCACTCTGAGAGAACATTTAGAATTCTCTGGCCGGGGTTTCTTCCAGTTCTGCACAATCATACTTGTATGTAAGCAAAGGAGACCTCTTCCCTCTGGATGTCCTTTGATTTCAGCAACCTCCTTTCTCTTCTAAAAAATCAAGCTCTTAAAATATTTATTCCCTGGAAAGCATTTCGTTTGGCCTATTGACTAGATAATCTTTGGGGATTACTTTGGTACTTGGATAAACACTGAAATACTTTGTTCTTAGAGCCAGTAATTTTCCTGCTTTTTAATTCAAATCAAGTTATATCTGAAACAAAGATCACTTTGGCTTTACACCAAGCATGAGACAGGGGAACAGGGAAAGCACTGGGAAAGTTAACGGCAAAGGATTTGTAGTGGAAGGAAATTATTTTTACAAATAGTATACATTTGTATTTCAAGATTTAACCTGATTCTCCCAGGACTTCAAAGTCACCCTTTCCTTTACTCTCTTCCTAGTATTTATCAATTTGTAATATATCAAGTAATTTATTTACTGTGTTTATTGTCTCTCTCTGCTCCACTAGAATGTCAGCTCCATGACAGCAAGAGTCATTGTTTCATTCCGTGCGGTATCCTAAGCACTGAGACCAGGGTCTGGAATACACTAATTGCTCAGTCAGTATTTGTAGACTGAGTGAACACCGTGATTTATCCTGCTTCCTCCCTGAAGTTTTATACTCACTTCTTCCTGGTGATTATTATATTATATTCCATATGAAGTAGGTAGTTAACTAATTGGTAAAAATAATACTCTAACATCTAGTATGAGAAGAGAATTTTAGGAATTATATTCTAAAAATGTGGGGGTTTTTTTAGATTTCGTGTGAACATTTTCTTATTGTCCTCCATCCCCCTCTCTGCCCTCCTGCCCCCAGCCCTGACGAAGTGATTTGTAAGGCTTGAGTTTTTAATAAGTGTAAGTGAAACCCGTAGTGTTCCTCAGAGGCCCCCAAAATTTATTAAGGAGTGGAGGATGGGGAACTCTTTATTTAACAAACGGTTTTGCTACGTCTTTCTCAGATGGCAAAGCTGGCAGCCACGCCCACAGGTCTGATGTTTGCATCTGTAAGTGTGCAGGCGGCCAAAGGAGAGAACTCCAAAAAGCAGCTCGTGAAGCCAGAGCAGGTAATTTACCTCCAAGTATTTGTGAATTTTTTAATAATGTAAATATGGTAAAATGAGTTTTTTAATGTAAAGTACTTTTATTTTTTAATATTTTTATTGTTGTTCATGTATAGTTGTCTCCATTTTTATTACGTTGTTGTTGCCTCTGTTCATCAAGAATGTCTTCGAAGTATTTGTTAGGCAAATTTTATAAGTTGAGAGCAATAGTTTCAGGGAGTCTTAAAATAATTACTGTATTATATTTAACCCAGACCTCCTAAAGTCCTAATTCCAAGGAAAAACAATTAGTGAGTTTCTCAATGAATAATCAGTGATACAGTACTTTTAGTACTTAGTACTTTTAAGCAGTCTGGTTTTTGTTTCTTGAAAATTTATACAGGAACACCTGATATTTGGAAGCTTTAGTTTAAAAAGTTCATTAAGATCTCATTTTTGAAAGTCACTCTAGATGCTTTCTAGTTGAGCCTTCTGAATGTTCCTGTAATCCCCTCTACAATAGGCATGCTGAGTGGCCACTTAACTTTCTACATGAATAAAACTTGGGATAAAGGAACCTAAGGCAGCCCATTTAATTTGCTGGCAACTCTCACTCAACTTAAGGTCCTTCCTTAGGTCAGACAAATCTGTGTGTTAATGAGTTCGACCATTCACCTTGTATCTCCTGCATCGGTACCATACAGGAAAACTCTCTCTCCCACCAAACAACTCTTCAGATGTCAGTTACACTTTAAGTACTTTTGCTTCCCAGGTAAGTATATTCGTAGCCTTAGCCATTCTTCACATGTCCAGGCTTTCAGTTCCATCACTATCATGATCATTCTCTGCCAAAATATTCAGGATGGTTAGTATTTTCTTCAAGCGTAAATATTTTGACCACTGCTCAATAGAGTTAGACTCTGACTTCTCCTGTTCTACGTAATATATTTCTATTGAAACTGCCTAAGATCACTCTCACTTTTACATGTGTTTTTGTTTGTTTTGTATCCTCACAATCAATCTTGCTTATGACCTTTGACTGTGATGTAGTGAATTTGCAGTTCTCAAAATTTATTAAACATTTTACTATGGGCCACTGGTAAGCTATGTCTTTTTTCACTCTGTACTTACACATATGGGCTTTTGGGATTCAGTTACAGGTACATAGATGCCTGTTTCTAGTTTATCATGCAAGCCTGTTGTTAATCTAATTATGATTACTGATTTGGTTCTCCATTGTACTTTTTCCTTTTCCAGCCAGAAGTCACACTAAGATTTATCTACATACTTAGAAATGTACACTTGGGTCAGACAGGTCTGATTCTGAATCTTGAGGCCACCACCGACTATTCGGATGACATTGGAAAGAATTCTTGTTGGTGGCTCTAATATACTTTTGTATGAATTTACCATTATCAAATGTACAATTTGCATAACTTTAGAAAGTTTGGCATATTTCCAGTAATTTGTTTTCTGTAATAGTGCTTTATTAAAATACTTTGTACATAACTCTGTATGTCATACTTTAACTATTTCCTTAAAATAAATTTCTAGAAATTGTAGGTCGAAATATGTGAAAAATATCAATACATTGCCAGGGTGACATGCATAAAAGTTAACAAAAATTATTTCCAGAGCTCCTTTTGCATGCGTGCGAGGCACTGTTCTAAGCACTTAATAATAATAATGATAATGTCAAGTTTTAGTAATTTTTATTAGCAGTCTAGGATAGATTCACTTCCCTACGAACTTGCTCTCAGTATTCTTTCTCCTTTTTTAGTCTTAGAGGGATGATGTTTTTAAGCCCACCTTGACACTCCATCTTTGGAAAGCTCAAAATCTAGGTAGGAAGATAAGTAACTTGCATTTGTCCCTAGTAACTGAATTTGCATATTTCTAAATTATAAAATTAGAATTTCTGAAGCTAGTTTTATTGTGTAAAGTGAATTATCAGTCTATTTACATCTCTTTACAACAAAGCCTCTACTTACCAAAACACTGGATGAATGAGGTGTTCTGCTTAATTGAATCTCCTGGTAAACTTGGGGCTAACCAGAATGTCTTTTTTTTAATTTCAATTCTTCTTAAACATTTAAAAATATTAATATGCTCCTGCGTTATTAAGTACCATCTAGTGAATATAATTGAGTATCTCTTTATTAGGAAACTCTGGAGAGCCCTGGGGTGATTCTTTTTTAAAACAGTGACATTTGAAGTATTCTGATCTGTAAAATGGCTGCCAGTCAGCTGTGTGTGTATGTGGTCAGCCATCACTGAATGTTTCTTCTTACAATATTTCTATGATAGGAGTTTGACTCATTTTCTTGTTATTTGCTTATTTGCACCAAATAAATAACAAAGGAAAATACTGATCTGGGAGTTATAGTTACTTTCATTCGATTTAATTTAAATGTCATTTTATAGCTTACTGAATCTAATCATAATTTCTAACGAACAAAATAGAAACGGACTGAGAGAGCAGACTGACAGCTGTCAGAGCGAGAGGGGTTGCGGGAATTCATGGAAAAGTGGAGGGATTGCAAGAAAACCTCAAAAAACTCATAGACACAGCAAACAGTGTGGTGACGACCAGAGGAAAATCGGGGGAGGAGGGAGAAGAGCGTAAAAGGGGGATAAATGGTGATGGAAGGAGACTTGACTTTGGATGATAAACACACCATACAGCATACAGATGGTGTTTTATAGAATTGTACACCTGAAACCTATATGATTTTATTAACCGATGTCACCTCAAAAAATTGAATAAAGCAAAAATACGTATACAAGGTCTGTCCAGAAAAAATCCAGCCATTTTTAATATGAGAACGATTTGCCCGACATCGACGTAAGCTGGCAGCCAAGGAGAGCGGACTGGAAGGCGCGTGTGTGAACAAGGACGACGTCACTGTCCTAGTCAGTGGGAGCGGTAGACACGATTGAGTGCGCATGTGTGCTGTGTGGCCGTCACATTCAAAATGACTGAGCGAGGAGAGCAACAAATCTGCATCCAATTTTGTGTGAAGCTTGAACACTCCTCCATGGAAACTATTTAGATGACTCAGAAGGCCGCAGCTACGGGCACCTGGTGATGGGCAGCTTCATCACAATGACACGCCCGCTCATGCATCACATCTTGTGCAGAGTTTTTTAGCAAAACATCAAATCCCCCAGGGGACTCAGCCCCCCTACAGCCCAGATTGGGCACCCTGTGACTTCTGCCTTTTCCCAAAACTAAACTCACCTTTGATAGGGAAGAGCTTTCAGACCATCAATGACTTTCAGGAAAATACGTTAGGGCAGCTGATGGCGACTGGGAGAATGGTGTGAGGTCCCCAGGTGCCTACTTTGAAGGAGACTGAAGCACCCTTGTCCTATGTACAATGTTTCTTGTATCTTATATCTCCTTCAATAAATGTCTCTCTTTTTCATAGTACATGGCTGGATACCTTCAGGACAGACCTTGTATAATCAGTATTTTTAGTTGTTTTTAGGAGGAATATTGATGAGGTTTCCTGTTCTGCCATATTACTGGAAAAGTAATTTCAGCTACTTTACATTTTTGAAATGAAGTGATTTTTTTTTTTTTTTTTTTTTTTTTGCCTATAGCTCCCCATATATACTTCACCACCTCTCCAGTCTAAATACATTGAAGAACAGCCTGGTAAATTACAAATGGGCTTTGCCTCCATCCGCACTACAACGGGTCGTTACATTGGCTGGTGCAAGGTAAGTCTATTCTAAGTTGGTCAATATTGGAGGTTTCTGATTTGTATTACACACGAGTTGTTCCGGTTAGCCAGCGATGTGTAACAGACTACCTCCAGATGAGTGGTTTAAAACAACTACCATTCTATGATATTTTATGATTTGGCAAACCAGAAACTTGATTGGAGTTCAGACAGGTGATTCTTCTGTTGCATGTGGTGTTCACAAAGGTCATTCAGTGGCATTCACGAGGTGAACAGGCTGATCTCGAGGGTCCAAGACAGCTTCATTGTCATCTCGAGCAACTTGTCACAGATGCTGGAAGGCTGGGCTCAGCTGGGAATGTTGACCAAAGCACCGGGACATGGCCTGTCAGGCAAGGTGGCCAGATGCCTTACATAGGCATTTCAGGGCTGCTATAGAAAACGTTCCGAGAGGCCCTAGGCAGAATTTGCCAGGTTTCTTACTTGTCCTCACATGTCCAAGAAAGTCACTTCTAAAGCTTTGTTTTGTGAAGTCACTAAGGCCAGTCCCGTTTTAAAGAAAGGGGGAGAAGTGCTACCCCTCAGTACAAGCAGCAGCAAATAATTTGTGGCCCTATTTAATCTATTATACCACTACTTCATAGATTAAAGTAGTTCAACAAGAATTTATGTCACCTAGCATCTATAAAACATCGCTTGGCTTGTTACACGAAGTTCTGAGATTAGTTCCGAATTGTTTCTTATGTGACTGAGCAAAATTTTCACATATTTTGTTAGCTCATAAGACCAATTTGACTCCAGTCAGTTATTGACCAAAATAGAATTCCCCTTATTTTAATACTTAGCCTTCAGTCCGCATTACCCAGCAGCAGACACAATATCGATGTTTCAGTATCATGACGTCAACATGGGTCCAGTGTTAGCGTCATAATGGTAGTGTTGGTACCGTTGTTTTCATCATTCTGACCTAACAACTATACAGATTTCCTTCAAATCTCACCTATCCACCTGCGACCCTCTGTGCTTTTTTGTTTCTAATCCATTCTTTTTAGAAAGAAAATTCAAATGATCTGATTGAAATACCAAATCTGTGAACGCCTGTCATTCTAAAGTATATGTAAAATGTCTGATGAATATACGGTGTTATTTCTAAAACTTTTGGCCTGTCCAAAATTCTAACAGTACTAGTTGTACTACATGTTCTTAATAGTTTAATCTCAGAGGGAAATATCTTAACTAATTAAGGTCTGAATCATTTCAGCAGCTGGATGATTCACACTTTAGTCTCCTGAGACCTAATTTTCCATAGTGTTGTCAAAGTTATTTTCTGTGAGGCAAATTGTTCCTGAGAGATACTTAAATTGCTACTATAACTATCACCCAATTTAAGACTGAAAGACCTTTATATTCTTTAATATCCTGAAACAATTAGGTTAAAGAAGGGCACTTTTGAATGCATTTCATCTTCAGTGTAAACAATGTTTCCTCTCTAATTTTTCTCTAAAAATTACTTGCGACTCAAATTGTATTCTACATTACACTTAGAGTCCTTTAGGGACAATGTAATTTCTACTCCTACTCCTGCATGGCTTTGAAATTGAGGTAGCAGTGACCCCCAGTGGTAGAAGTGAATTCCTAAATGCGGCGAAGGAAAATTTTCCAAGAGAAGTGACTGGTTTGCTTCTTCGACAGTTACGTGATTTCTCAATCAGCTAGTCAATAGGTATATGACGATGAAATTTTCTCAAGAGATAGTCCCTAAAGAGAAGTAGTTCGGTGGCGACCTTGTCCAGTGCTCATTGGTACAGTCTGAAAACATGATGCGCAGAATGAACCTGTGCATCTCTGAGCACCTGAAAATATGTGAGACAAAGTTACTAATATCAAGATTTCTCAATAGCAGTAACTTATTCCTTTCCCATCTGATATACTCATTTCTATTTTCTTTGCTTTGAAAATCTCTTGTTGTTTTTATCTCATTGCTTAACAGCAGCTATTTTAGACAAGGAGATCATATAGTTAGATTGTGTTTTCTGGTTCCTTCCAAGTGGAATACAGCACAACTGTGGGCAATTAACAGGGATAAATCATTTCATGCCTTCATTTTTCTTCTGAGATAATTGAGATAAAATCTATCACTCAATAAATATGTGCAACAATAGTTCTTGCATTAAAATGAATTAGTTGGAAACAGGTAAAAGGAAAGCTTTGATTTAAAGCTTTACTCCCTCCGTGGGTTAATTAATCTTGATTTGTAAAGAATTTATGTTGCTGTTTAAAAACAGGATGAACCCTAGCTTGTGTAGCACAACATCTATCCTAAGATGAATGTCTTAGTTAGAGTTTTTCCTCATTCTAATGCGCACTTAAAAAAGGGAGGAGGTGAACTTTTCTTTAGGCTTTTTGTTGTTGTTTTCTCCACAAATCATTATGCTGTTGCCACTGCGTCTTTGTTAATCAGATGTTGCTTCTAAGCTGAAATATGCTTCTCTTTATGGCTTATTTAAATTCCATTCAATTTTCTAGGCCATTATAAAATAAGATGATAAATCTTCATATTGCTTCAGTAAGTTTTATATGTGCTGCTCTGATTATTTCATAGGCAGTACTTGTTCAATATGAGGAAAATAGTAAACAGATATTATCCATGTTAAATAGAATGAAAAGCAAGAAATAAAGAGAAGCTAAGTTCCACAAATATCCTCATGGTGAATAAATAAGAAAGTCAGATTTAGATTTGGATGCAATGCTAAGTCAACATTTTAAAACAATCTCAGAGATGTCAACTACTTAATCTAATATCAACATTTTCAAAAATGCAAGTGTCTTTTTTTCCCGTTTTGCCTAGGGTGTTTATATCTTTATGAAAAATGGGATAATGGATACAGTACAATTCGGAAAAGGTACGTGAGTGAACCATGTATAATTAGGAATGTTTTGTTGTCTTTTTAACTTGCAAGGTTGAAATGTGAGAAAAATAAAAATGGTACATTATCTATTATCATGTTTTAGCAACTGTAAAGATACTCTGCGTAGCAGTTTACGATACAAATAAAGCAATTGTAACTATAATTTACTTGGCTATTATTATATACTAAGTCACTATGATAAGTATTTTACATAATTTATCTAATTTTGGCCGCAATTTTGTGACTGTTGGTATTATAATTATTCCCCTTTTACAGATGAGGAAACTGGGGTTTAGAAAGATTAAGTAGATTACCAAGACCACATAGCTAGTAAGTGGCTGCACCTGCACTCAAACTGACGTCTGTTTTCTATTACATACGCATAAAGCATAAATTAGAAACATATCTCCATTGTCATCAATTAATTTAAATAAATGCTTTTTTTTGCTATTAAAATACATAGTATCTTGAATTGATTGTTAGGAAATGCTATACCAATCAGTCGCCATGGAATATTTGAGCCAATGTTGGAAAGCAATTGTATTTGAGTCTTTAGTTTGATAATGGTGTTTGGCAGCAGATAGAGCTTCCTAATATTTTTGGCCTAAGCCAGTTGTCAAAATAAATGTGTAGAGGACACAAAGATCAGCTAAAATTTTAAAAGTCTCCAGATACTGATGACCAGTATATGTATTATCATTGCTTAATGTATGTGGGAATTAATTCCAAATTACTCATCAGTCTTGAGGAATATAATTAAATTAGTGATTGCCATTAAATATTGGGTTGGCCAAAAAGTTCATTTAGCTCTTTCCATACAATGGCCCCAGTAGCGCTTAGCTGTCTTTAACTTTATTCAAAACAGTTTTGTTAGGTTGTATCATGACATCTGTCAATATCAGCTTGCATTTATTAAAAACTTACCAAAATTGGCGAAGTTTTGTGCAGCCATTTTAATATCGAAGATGGAAGAACATATGCAACATTTTTGGCCTGTTATTTGGCTTTATTATTTCCAGAAAGGTAAAAAGGCAACTGAAACACAAAAAAAGATTTGTGCAGTGTGTGGAGAAGGTGCTGTGACTGATGAAACTTGCCAAAAGCGGTTTGCCAAGTTTCTTGGTACTATTGACATTTTGGCCAAATAGTTCCTTGCTGTGGAGCTCCCTTATGTACTGGAAGATGGTTAGCAGCACCCAAAATGTCAAATACTCAAAACATCCAAATCAATGAAGTTATTGGTGAAAATGGAAAAAAAGTGTCTTTTATGGAAAAAATGTGTCTTTTATGGAAAAACTAAACGGTCTTTTTGGCCAACCCCGTAATTACGTACGATGGGAGAGTGTGGATTTGGACAACGTAGAACCCATATAATTTAAATGTATAAAAAGCCAAGAAATCCGGACTCCTGCCCACTGTCCATGTGCTTTTTGTTTAGGCTTCCTTCTCATCCTGATCAGCTTGGTCTTAACCAAGATCGACAATGGCCCTAAGGTTACTGGATCCTACCAGAGTTTGAGCAAATAAGGCCAGAAGCATTTCTATCGTAGGCATATAATACTTAGACAATCAGGAATTTGCTTCATAGTAATCCATATCAAGGTAGGAATCTAGCATCCTCTTCCATTAAAGGGTAATAATAATAACCTGTATTATACAGAAAACAAATACCATGAAATCAGCTATGGAAGGAAGATTTAAATGTGTAGCAAGTAACCATTGTAACTAGCTCTTTAAGATGGGCCTCGAAATCATTATTTTGTATTGCTCTTTTGAAGATTAGTTAAACCACCTGCTGTTATCTCTAGCTTTTGTGCATCCTAACTATGTAGAACATCCAGTTGCAACAAGTCATTTATATTAATTTTTAACTGATTTCTTGAGATGCATATGTTTACCTGAAGAATCCACCTCGAGATTTTCTTCCGAAACTTGGCGTGATTACCGTTTCGGGATTGGCCGGCGTGCTGTCAGCAAGAAAAGGTAGGGGTGAAAAATAGATATATATCCCCTTTTTCAAATACATTATTTTAACTTCTGAATTTTACTGTCACAGGAAAACCTCCTATCTTTTACTGAATATTATTAGGATAGGCTACCTTAAAATATTTAGATTCTATAGTATAGCATGATTACTTTTATTACAATTTTTTCTTTTCAAGAATATAGTTATTTCAAAAGGCGTTCAACATCATTAGTTATTAGGAATGCAAACGAAAACCACTACACACCTATTCGAATGTCTAAACTTAAAAAGCCTAACCATGCCAAGTATACTTGAGAATGTAGAGCAGCTAAAAACTTCTCTGGTGGGAAAACAGAGTGGTACAGTCATTCTCACAAGAGTTTGACAAGTTTGTCATAAAGTTAAACATGCATTTACCGTGAGACCCAGTCATGCCAGTGCTGGGGACTGGCCCTGGATAAATGCAAAACCTGTTCACAAATGTTACTAGCAACTCAATTCATAGTCTCCCAAAGTTGGAGACAACCTAAATGTCTGCCAACAGTAAACTAAACTGTGGCACATCCATGCACAGGTATACTGCTCAGGCAACAAAAAGAATGAACCCTGGGTACGTGCAGCAATTTCGATGAATCTGAGTTAAAGAATCTCGTTTGTATTTGCCTGTCTTCCCCCTCTAGTTACAGAACCACTCTCAGCAAGCATTACTGCTTCCTCTCCTCAGCCAAGCCATTATCGAGCTGATGCAGCTCTGTGATGAGTCGCCATTTTGGTCATGTTGCGTTCATCCTCTGTCCCCCACTCAGTTACCAGTTGCTGTCCCCAAACTAAATTACATGGCGTGGGCAGTCACAGCTCTGAACCAGTCTGGAATCGGATATGGGATAATGCGGCGGTTGGTTTGCCCACCCTTATTCCTTAAGTTCAGTTCAATTATACCTACTCAGATACAAAACCTATGTGAATTATGAGAATATCACAGCATTCTAACTGTAGCATATACATCGTATCCCAACAGACCTTACACTCTCCTTATAACTAATATTAATGGCTCCTTATACCCCATTTTTATTCTAACTCTGTGAACACCTTCTAATTGAATACATATTATAATGTGTTTGTTAGGAAAAAAAAAATCGAAGCCCAAGATCACCATATGTAACAAAAAGGCTCAAAACATTAAATTTTGAAGGAAATTTGCCAAAACATACTACTCAGTTCTCAAAGAGAAACTGATAATCCACTTGTAAGGTACATGTTCCTTAGGTCAGTCACAATATCTCCCACTGTCAAAGCCAGAATAATATAACCCAGTGTCTTTCAAACTGCAAATCTTAGTGGGTCGTGAAATAAATACGCTGCTCTCAGGAAGCATGTGTTAAAAATAAAATAGAAGAGAATCGCAAACATCAGACTGTTTCGTCCTTAGTGTGGGTAAGAACTGAGAGGGACGAGAAAATGAGAATGAATGTGTGTGCAAGGGGGAGGGGAAGAGAGGCCATAGGTCAGGGTACATTGTGTTCTTTAATATCAGTCATGGTTTAAAAAGTTTGAAAGCTGTTGGTTTAGTCTAACCTTCCTCCAGATCACACACACAGGTCCAGAGGAAAGAAATCACACCGTGGTTTCATAGGAAATAGTAACTAGCTGGTTACCGACTGTATCTAGAGCTCTTTCCTGCTTATCACTCCAGGGCTGTTGAACCCAAAATGAAGTTTATTTTACTGTAGACTGGCCTTTCACTTCAAGTAAAGAGAGGATGAATGGCAGTCTTTCTAATACTTAAGGCGACACATCGGATAGAACTGTTGCCGTCCCAGTTGAGGAGCAGGACATGAGGGGAGTCTGGCTGAGTCAGCGAAACGTGCATCAAGAGATGTTAGGTCGGTACAGTCAAGAAGCAGACTATGGATACTGGAATAATAGTGAGCAAGATTAGAGTAAAGGAGCGACTTCGGACATATTTTAATACACCTAGACCCCTTTTTCAATACCACAGAACCCAGTCTCCATGTAAAGAAAAGCTATACCGGAGGGCGAAGCAGCAAACCTACACACTTCGTCCGAGCTCAGTCTATTGCAGACAAGACTGTAGAAGGCTCCCTACGAACATTAAAACCAGACACAGGAATACCGCTTGTTTTTTTTTTTTCTTTTTGCTTTCCCTCGCCTGTAGGTACACTAGCCCGCAGACATTGCCAGGTATTTTTCACCTTAATCTTTACTGATATATCAGATAGGTCGTTTCATTTTTAAATTAAGGGTTGTACGAGTTGAGCCAGAAAATAAAGATAGGACCTCCAATTAGAAATTCCGTCTTCTAATTGCTTAGATCATATTTACAGAGTCCAAGGTAACCAGAGTGCAAGCATTGAAAGACACATATTTGGGGCTAAGCTCTGGCTTACAGTGCTGGGTTAGCAGCTTCCACAGAACCCGCGGCTCCGTGCAAGTGGCGTGAGGAAAAGGGAAAGGTTCTGTGAGGAGGGCGCCATACAGGGCTTCCGCCCCGCAAGCGAACCGGAGTGGTTTTAAGCTAATAGTTGTGTATAGGAAGTTCCTGTTGATGTCCTAGCTCTCAGATTTATTTGGAAAAGAATTGTGCTGTCCAGAAAAGTTTGAAAATGACCCCTAGATGCTTAGATGAGACACTTTTAGAAATGAATTGATTGGTTAGGTCTCGGTTACTTGCAATTATTAAATTATTACTTCGGTATTCTAACTTGGAGACATGAAGGAGTTTTGTACTTTTTAAAGTACTGAGCTGATTAGTTAGTTAGATCTTTCACCTTCCTAAACACTTAATCAAAAAAGGTCCATTTAAGTTTTAACATGGTTTAAGACATGAAAAAAATACCTAGTTTTAAAAAAGAGAAAAATCATCAGTCCCCTCTGTGTAAGTAATTATCATGTTAGACTGAGAATATTTTTCTTAAATTGGATATGACAACTAAGGGGTATTAATTGAATTGTGACCCTTAAGGACACGTAGCTATGATCTTGATGGGAATTATTACCTAAAGAGCAATTTAACAGGATGATAGCGTTAATGGGAACAAAGAGAATATAAAAATTATAGAAATATCAAGTTCCTAGTAGCATGTGTTAGGAATTTAATAGTTTGTTTGAATTTCTTAGGTTCTAGATTTAAGAAAATTGCTTATCCATTGGGACTGGCCACATTAGGAGCAAGTGTTTGTTACCCAGTCCAGTCCGTAATCATTGCAAAGGTAAGTTCTCTCTGAATGAAAACTGCGTTTTAGTATTTGTTTAAACTCTTGGGGTGTGGCAGCGTTTCAATGTCATACAGTATGTGCAACATTTAATTTTCAGAAAAATATAGTTAGCAACTCTTATATTGGCAAAATCACATTAGCGTCTAACATATGACCATCCCAGATACCTAGGGTGAATTTGTCTCAGTGTAATTCAGCACTATAAATGCTGATTTGAGGATTAAGTTCAGAGACACTGAATTACAATTTATGGGGATAAATGCCGCTGTGTTGTAGAGCTATGTGAAATTCGATTTTTAATTAACAGAGAATTACAGCTGTTGGTAGCTGTCAGCTGAGCAAATTAACATAATGCAAGGAACAGCCACTTGGTAGCTGCCCAGACAAGATAACAGACAGTTGCGAAACCATCCGGAACTCAGTAACGTTTTCTGTGAAATTCCATGTTAGAGTTGTTCTGTTATTTTCTTGTGAGCTCACCTACAAATCCAGATATGTCCCTGGTAATTTGAACAGCTCGTGTCAGTATTTTATTTTGTTTTACTTTTAACGTGTATTTGGAGCGAGGAGGAGAGCTTTGGGATATGCAGTTTTTTCTTCCTTTACTTCTTTCCTTAATTTACCAACATTGAACATTTTCGCCTCACACTTGAGGCCGTGTTTAGTGTTACCGGAAGGACCTTCTGTCCTTTAGTGTCATTACCGCATCCCTTCCATTGTGGGTGTAGATAAAACTGCCTGTTCAGTATTTTGAGCATGTCAAGGATATGGTGCCCTGTGTAGTTTGTAATGTAATCAAATTATAAAAGCTTACAGCAGACGAAAAGAGCATTATTCATTACGTCTGGTTATACTTGATATAATTGACGGATGAAATGATACATTTATTTTTTTAAACATTTTCTACAATTTATGCAGGAATTGGCGACTTAAATTCATTTAATATCAGCGCTGCGAGAAACCTTTGCTCGTTACATTCAGCTTCTTCATTTTCTCATTTGCTGGCAAGGAAACTGTGGTCCGGGAGACCTTTCACAGTGACTGATTCGTGTGGGGCTCTTTGCAACTGCAGGTGTCATACTTCCCTGTCCATGTCTCTCCCCAGGACATGCTAACGGCCCCTGGCTCTTTTTGTTAGTCTACAGTAATGATCTCATGTTGTTTTTTATAACGACACCTACTCATCCTTAAATAATTTAAGCATTGAAGAAAATGTGTAGGAAAAAAAAACCCACCCCACTGAAATCCTTCCATTAAGAAAAATATTAGTGTTGACATTTGTTAGGATGTTATTCTAGTCATTTCCTCATGCCTACATAGAGACAGAAAAATGAATGGTTGAATAGGCAGACACAGTTTCCTAAGACCAGGATCATAGCATGCATATTAGGTGTCTTATTTTTAATTAAAAAAAATGAAGCATTAAATTCTATTTTACTTTGACAGAAAGAGAAAAAAAGAATTGCTGATATTTAAATTAACATTTCTACGGTAAAATTGTTATTAATATGAGTTCCTAAAAGTTCTTGTATGGTTCAGTAATAATTGTTGCTTAAGTTTCTAGAGTTGGGACCCTTGCTTTTCCTTTAACTGTCATATAACATTGTCACATAGTCATATGTAACATTCGGTGAATTCTACTATTGTATATATATGCTATATTATATATGTATTAGACATGAATATATACAATAGTAGAATCCACCAAGTGTTACATATGACAATGTGACTCACCTACCTGAAACCAAATGAAAAATTTTATCTATAAAATACCTGCCTTCTAATTTAATATTATCAGAATCAGTAAGTCAGTAGTTAGCATTTAATCAAAAATGTTACAAGAGGTTTGTTTAAATCCTAAATATGTATATCAATTTAAAACATAAGTGTGTGTTCATTTTTCTGTCTTTTAAAGTAGGACTTTTTTATGAGTATGGGTCTCCTAGCTGAAGAGCCATAGCATCTTTCTTATAGTTAGCCATATCTGCAATATGTCTTCTCCTGCGTTCAGTTTAGATTTTTTTAAAAATAGAATGAGCACTTAAGAACATTTTGTAAATAATGTGAGAGCAGAATCCTCCCAGAGTTTTATTATTTCCCCTAGCCTTTTACAGTTGTCTTCATCACCTCTAATTTGATAGCAGCTATTTTACTTTAAAAAATTTTTTAATTAGATTTATTAGGTGACACGGGTTAGTAAAATTATATAGGTTTCAAGTATATAATTGTATATTACATTGTATGTTTACTACCCAAAATCAGATCCCCTTCTGTAACCATATGGTTATCCTGTAATAACCTTTACCTCTCTTTTCCTCTGATAAACACCATACTGTTCTCTATGAGTTTTTGTTTGTTTGACTTTTTTCATTTTTGGCTCTCAGTTTTATATCCCATGTATTTGACCTCTAAGACAAGGGAAGCAAAAGCAAAAATAAATGATTGGGACTATATCAAACTACAAAGCTTCTGCACAGCAAAAGAAACTGTCAAGAAAACAAAAAGCAGCCAGCCAAATGGGAGAAGATATTTGTAATCAAGGTCTTCAAAAATTTCCAAAATACATAAAGAATTCATAAAGTTCAATAACAAATAAAACAAATGATCCAGTTAAAAAATGGGCAAAGGACCTGAACAGACACCTCTCCCAAGAAGACCTCCAAATGGCCAACAGAAAGATGAAAATATGCTCAACTTCAATATGTATTAGGGAATGCAAATCAAAACTACAATGAGATACCACCTCACATCTGTTAGAATGGCCATTATCAACAAGACAAGTAATAATATTAACAAGTGTTGAAAAGGTTGTGGGGAGAAAGGAACCCTTCTTCACTGCTGGTGGGAATGTAAACTGGTACAGCGAGTATGGAAAACAGTGTGCAAGTTACTCTAAAAATTAAGAATGGAGTTACCATATCACCCAGTAACCTCTCTTCTGGGTGTCTACCTGAAAAATTTGAAAACATTTATTTGTGAATATATATGCACCCCGATGTTTATTGCAGTATTAATTACTGTGGCCAAGACATGGGAACAACCAAAGTGTCCTTCAATAGACAATTGGATAAAGAAGAAGTTGTAAATATACACAGTGGAATACTAACCAGCCATAAGAAAAGATGAAATGCTGCTATTTGTGACAACAAAGATGGACCTTGAGAATATCACGCTAAACGAAATGTCAGATGGAAGAAGTCAAGAACCATATGATTTCACTCCTGTATGGGTTATACAACTGAAAGTATACACTTTTCACTCTTTACAAAGTACTTAGCTTAATTTTCCTACACACAATGACAGTTCTTTCACAGTCATATTTCATCCTATTTTATTACATTTGAAGTGTTTAATTATAGTAAAACTGATGTGGAGACTTGGAAACAAAACTTATTCTTGGTAAGCATGCCAATCACTTGTGAAAGATAGTACTTGGGCATATTGGAGAATATCCACTAGCAATGAATATTCAGCATTCTATGAACATCATTTATTATAAATTTTAAGACATCTTTAATGAGACAAGTCTCTCAAAAGACAGATGAGAGCCCTTCTCCCATATGTGCATTTTTCTGAGGGAAAGGTATCATAACTTTCAAGAGATTCTCCAAGGGGGCTATGATGTTAAAAAAGGTACGAAATAATATCTAGAAGGTCCTTTGAGAAATAAAAGTAACACTCCACATATTCACCATTTTGGAAATACACTTCAAGATGGCATTACTCTTTGCTTTTTATATTTTTCCTCACAATATTTTAATTTTTAACTTCCATAATGAATAATAGTGTTTCTGAAAACTGTGAAACACTTAGGAATAAACTTAACAAATCATGTTTTAAAACCTATTTTTAAACACTATTAAACTTTACTGAAGGGTGTATTTTTATCTTGGATACATTTAGAGGTATGTTTTGTTTCTGGATGAAATGACTCAATGTTAGAATATGACACATGTTCCCAAGTTTTGAAATTTAATGCAGTTCTTACAACATCTCTGGATTTGGAGTAAATATGAAAATCATTCAACCAGTATTTGTTGTCCATTTGCTATGTTTTGGCAACTATACTAAGCTACAGGATAGACAATGAAACAGACCAAGAACAAAAGAGAATGTTCAAAACCAAATATATTAAATATGTCTCTGTATGTATTGTAGGGCAGGAGGAAGGTATGCTAAAGGTGGAATTTCAGATGAGCGTGTCAGAAGGGAATGGATTATTCAAGAAATGTGTTAAAATAATTAGTTTTGGGGGGAAATAGTTAAACCTTTACCATATGAGGTCTGTCCAGAAAGTGTCCAGCCATGTACTATTGAAAAATAGAGGCATTTATTGAAGAAGATACAAGACACAAGAAACATTGTGCGTAGGAAAATGATGCCTCAGTCCCCTTCCAAGTTGGCACCTTGGGACCTCACACAGTCTCCCAGTCGCCATCCGCTGTCCCATCATATTTTCCTGAATCTCATCAACAGCCTGAAATCCCTTCCCTTTCAAAGGTGATTTTAGTTTTGGGAAAAGCCAGAAGTTGCAGGACGCCAAATCCGGGCTGTGGGTGGGGTCTGTCTCCTGGGGGATTTGATGTTTCGCCAAAAAAACTGCACCAGACATCACGCATGAGCAGATGCGTTGTCCTGATGAAGCTGCCAATCACCAGGTGCCCACAGCTGTGGCCATTTCCGTCATATTGCATCTCTCAAGCAACGAAGAACATTGAAGTAGTTAGTGCTCCTTACTAATTGTTTGGCCTGGAGGGGCGTACTCGTGATGGACCACACCTTCCCACTCAAAAGACAAAGTTAACATGGTCTTGATCTTGCTGCAACATTGCCGCACCTTCTTCAGGCGTGGAGAACCAGGCAACTTCCATTGGAATGACTGGGCCTTCGTTTCCAGATCGTAGCCGTAGACCCATGATCCATCTCCGGTTATGACCTTGAGGAAATCTGGTTCATTGGTAGAAGTTTTAGAGTCAAGTCATTAGCAACGGCAACACAATGTTCCTTCTGCTCTGGGAGCACAGGCCATAGAATGGATTTTGCTATGACATGTTTCATGCTGAGATCCTGTGTCAAAATCTTGGACACAGTAGTGTTTGGAACCCCCAGATCAGCTTCTAGTTCTCACACTGTCAGTGGCCGATCTTTGTCGTACACAGTCAGTGATCTCAGGTGCTCTGCTTGTCGCAGGCCTTCCAGAACGTGGGTCACTTTCAACAGATTCTCGTCCATCTTTGAGGCGTTTGTGCCACACTTTTATTTGCGCTCCGCTCATTGCATTGTCGCTGACTCTCTGTGCTTCCTGAACTTGTGTGCTTTTTCCTTCACCACATTAGGGAACTTTTCAGTCATTATTTTCTTCCAGTGTGTTCTTAATCCCTCGCTCCCTTTTTTCTTCTTCTGATGTCCCTATGATGCAGATAGTGTACGCTTTATGTTGTCCCAGAGATGCCTTAAACTATTCCCACTTCCTAAAATCTTGTTTCTTTTTGCCGCTCTGATTGGGTGTTTTATACTACCTTGTCTTCCAGATCACTGATTTGATCCTCTGCCTCATCCGACCTACTTTTATGCCTTCTAGTGTATTCTTCATTTCAGATATTGCATTCTTCATTTCTGACTAGGTATTTTTTTTTATGGTTTCTATGTTTTTTTTCAAGCTGTTGAAGTTCTCACTAAGTTTTTTAACATCCTTACAAACAGTTATTTTTTTCTCCTCTATCTGGTAAATTGCTTACCTCCATTTCATTTAGCTCTTTTTTTCCTGGAGATTTCTCCTGTTCATTTATTTTGAGCATGTTTTTTTGTCTCCCCGTTTTGGCTGCCTTTGTGTTTGTTTCTATGTGTTAGGTATATCTGCTACAACTCCCAGTCTTGGTACGGTGGCCTTATGTAGTTGGTGGCCTTATGTAGTAGGTATCCTGTAGGACCTAGTGGCACATTCTCCTGACCACCTGAGCTGGAGCTGAATGACTGAAGAACGTCCTTTGTGAGGGTTATGTCAGCTCTCCTTTTATAACTGAGTCTCAGTTGCTATTGGTCCATTCATGCGTGGGACTGACTCTCAGGCTGGGTGACTGTTAGGGTTGACCTCAACCACCCTGTATGAGCTGCTCTGCAGGTGCTGACCGCACGAAGCAAAATTAACTTCAGTAGGGTCTGGTGCCTACTAAGATTTCACTTTTAATATGCTACTTAATGAAGCTCATTGGATCATGCCCTGATGTTGTCTGAAGTTTGCCACTGAGTGTGTTGGTTCTGGGCCTCTTGGGAGGGAGTCTTGTGTATGCCTTTGTCAGATGCTGTCTGTGTCTGGCCCTGAGCAGCCTGTTCGGAGGTACTAAGCAGTCTGCTGTTTTTAGTTGCCTCTGCTGGGCCTGGATGTTCATTGGAAGGACCAAGCTCAGTCACTACGTAGGAGCAAGGATTGTTCACCAGATTGATACTGGTTCAAAATCTGTGCCACTCAGGGCCTGAGGCCACTCAGGAGAAGTCCCAGGGTTCACCAACTCTGGGTGCCACCCACCTGGTGCCCGTGGAGCTTTTTGGTGGGGCAGGGTCTCAGGGAATCGTCAGTGAGGCCAGCAGAGTTTTTCAGACCCAAACAGACCGAGATTTGGCAGTGCGAAGGGAGGGCTCTGCACGGGCTGGGTGTGCCAGGGGGAACGGGCCCCATTCTAGAGCCGCACAAAAGGATGAGAAAAGAATGGAAAGAAGGAATCAGAAAACTTTCAAATAGGAAGAGATGTGAATGCAAGTTTAGCAGTGGCTTCAGGGATTCAGCAACCTAGCCTCTGCTGTAGCGTTTGTACTTCACTTTTATTTCCTGTCTCTACCAAAAAGAGAGGATTATTTTCTGTAGAAATACATTGATGGTTTTTTTTTCTTTATGACTGGAGAAAGCAACATAAAAATTTAACCAGAAGCATTAACTTTGTAGCATCTTCAAATCTTGTCTTCTCTGTCTACTATCTTTCTCAAACTCCTCTTAAATGACATAGTTTTAAATTTGCAATGTGACTGATAACTATACAGTTTTAAGACTGTGTTTTCTTAGAGTAGTTTTAGGTTCACAACATTTGTGACAACAGATGATCCTACGCTGACACATCATTATCACTGGAAGTTCACAGTTGACACTAGGATGTACTCTTGGTGTTGAACTAAGTATACTTTTTTTTAGCCTTTTTCATGAGGCAAGTAATATTTCATAGAAGATTTAGAAAATGGGGCTTTGTGTTACATCATCTAGAAATTTGTATCTTCACTATTGATTCTGACTTGTTAATATAAAACACCTGACCTAAATTTTTAATATTTGGTATTTTTAACTCTTAAAAATAGGCTATTTATCTCACTTTTTGTTTTAATTAGGTAACCGGAAAAAAGGCATATGCAGCAAGCCAGCAGATTTATGAAGCAGTTAAATCATTGTGGACAAAAAAGGAGTCACTTCCTGAACCTAAAGAAAAAACTAAGGTCGAGTTTAAGTGGACCAAAAAGTAGACATTTTGTTTGGGTGGGTGTTGGCTTATAATGGAAGTTATAAGAACAGAATGAAAAAAATGATGAAGGGACATAATACCTTTGCATGCTATAATTTTATAAGATATTTTATTCTTTTGATGAAATGATTTATTGATGAAGGAAAAAATATTTTTCGTAAACAGCCTGGAAGGTCCGCTGAAATAGAAATGCCTGCAAAGCCAGCTCAAGACCTGAAACACTCATCAGCCTCGCCAACAGAACTGAGATCGAAAACGAACACCAAATCAGAATCCACCTCAGGTTTGTTTGGACAATTCTGTTTTCATTCTGCCTCTGAAAGTTTCCTAATGTTATAATTATTACTTGGCACTTGTGTGTTTTTTTGTGATTTTTTCCTTTCTCATATCTGTAGTTTGTATATATTTTTAGGTTATGAGGTATTCAGTTACCTGGGACTTTTCTAATTGTGATGTAGTTCTTAATAGAGATCTTCGCACATGGGAGTATAGACTAGCACTTAATATCACTATAAAGGTGAGTTTTTTAATCAGGTGGGAGAAAAATGTGCCTTTCTTCATTCTGTCAATTTACAGGCTATAAATGCAAATCACAACTACGTGGACTAAATATCAGCTTCCATTTCTTACGCTATTTACCACTATCTGTTTTGGCTTCTACCATCAGTTTTATGTAGTTTAGATACTAGGAGAACTTTCAATATCAAATAGTAAAAATACCAACAATCATAATATTAAGAACTTTGCTCGTATTAGATAATGGCAATTAGTACTTTTTGGGAGCAATTAGTGATCATCATACCTCCTAGGGAAATACTACAATGGTTTTACTGTGATCGGTAAGAAGGTAAGACAGCATTTAATACCATTTCAGTATGTATTCACATCAAATCCCCAGTCGCTGGCTTACATAGGTTTGTCTCTCTGTATAGTGTTAATGGTACTACCCATTAAGCTGCCTTACTGCAAAGGAAATAGGACCAACTCAGAGGTAAAAAATTAGGAAATCAGGATAATATTTCAGTATTCAGATGCCCTTTATTCAGCACCTCCTCAAAAAGAAAAAGAAAACCTCTGGTGTATATGTAATTATAATCACTTTATGATGAAGAGACTGAGACTCAGGGAACTTAAATAACTTGCCCCAAACCATACAGCATATGAGCAGCAGAGTCATGTTTAGTTGTGTTTAGTTGTGTTTATCTAGATCTTCCTGACACCAAAGTACAAGTTCTTTCTGTCATGTACAGAGTTTAGTCTCTCAATTTAGCCTCTTCCTCTCTCATTCTTTTTTTAATTTATTTTTTTATTGAATTCATTGCGGTGACATTGGTTAACAAAACTATATGGGTTTCAGGTGGACGATTATAGAATACATCATCTATATGTTGTAATCTTTTTTTAAAAGATGTTATTTATTTTGAGAGAGAGGGGAAGGGAGGGAGAAAGAGGGAGAGAAACATCCACGTGTGGTTGCCTCTCGTGCGCCCCCTCCTGGGGACCTGGCCCACAACCCAGGTATGTGCCCTGACTAGGAATCGAACCAGCAACCCTTTGGTTTGCAGACCAGAGCTCAATTCACTGAGCCACACCAGCCAGGGCATAAATTACAGTTTTTACACTCTCTCTGAGTCATGCACAGTTGACTGTATTCTGACAAGTATATGATATATCCAGTCACTTTTCTAAATGCTTGTCACTTCCAGAATAACTTTGTGGAGATAAAATGTGCTATAGTTTAGCAGTGGGACCAAACCATCTCTAGCCAGTGACTGTTTCTTCTTACATATCTAGATTCTGGAACCCTTTGTCCGTCTGTCATGGATAATACAGTATCTGAAAAACATTCTGTGGAGACATGTGGAGGAAAAAAATATGCCAGTACCATCCACCCTTATCATATACCATGCAGGGTTGATTATACAGCAGGCCATTGGGATTCACCGTCTCTACCATTCGACCTTTCACACGTAGCACCAAAGGTCCACGACCTCAGAAACAGTTGTGATTATGAGCACACACTTTAGAAGAAGACATGGATCGAAAATCCTCAAGCCTCCGTCTCTTCATCCATAAACTAGGGTCCATAATAGCATTCTCCACACATGGTTGTCGTGAGGATTAAATGCAATATTACATGTACAGCACAAACTACAACATCAAGTATTTTAATTTCTCCATCAGTGTTAAAAGGTATCATTATCATTTAACTACAGTAACAGCCATTTGCCAGTAAACCAATTTCTTTTCATTGGCCACCACGTATCACATTACAGGACAGATTGGGTGAGCTCTCCCTCTATATATAGTTTTATAGATATATATAGATATTTATAGATATTTATAGTTTTATATATATATCTCTTGGCTCTGGATATGGATGAGTTTGTTTTTTCCTATCATCCATATACATTTATGGTAAAAATTATGTTATTTTGGAAATCAAAAATGTGGAAATGTGGTGACATGGACCTCTTGTCAAAATCTGTCCTAGTCTCCCAGGATTAACGTCCCTCTGAAGCACAGGTTGGCGGACTCTGGCACTTGTGCCAGAAACGGCTCACTGCCGATTTTTGTACATTCTACAAGCCCAAACTGGTTTTCCATGATTTAAATGGTCGAAAAAAATCAAAAGAAAACTATTTCTTGACAAGTGAGAATTCTGTGACACTCAGACCTCGGTGTAACAACAATAAAATGTTACTGGAACACAGCCACACTCGGTCTTTCATGTGTTAATCTGGCTGCTTTCACAGGGTGATGGCAGAGCTGAGCGGTTGCAATGGAAACCCTCTGGTTTACAAAGTCAAAAATGTTTACTCTCTGGTCAGTCCTTTGCAGAAAACATTTGCCGACTCCTGATTTAGAGGAATGAAGCGTGCCATCCATACATGGCTCATCTCCCTCCTTGTGATATTTGCCAAGGGGGTTTTTTTTTATGGATCAAGAGACTAAATAAATCTCAAAACATCTGAAGAGCAAAACCCGAATTTCCTACATATTTTCAGTGGGAGGGAGACTCAAAGTTCCCAGGCTCTCAACACGGCTTGGGAAGTGCCATCCCTGAGGCACGGGGGCGGGGGGGGGGGGGGGGGGGGCGGGGCGCCCAGGGGCCCAGGGGCGCAGTGGGGGGGAATCAGCTGACTGAGCTACTGAAACTGCAGCTCAGTTCAGTGCCTGACTGGATGGAGGTGATAAGCTCTTCACCTGTCACAGGAAAAGGGTTCCATGGCAGGCAGAAGTTATCCTGTGGAGCTTCTGCAGCTCTTCTATGCAGTGTCCACCCTGCAAACAGACAAATGCTAGCCATGTAAAGAGGCAGGAAGATATGTCTGACAGTCAAAACATTAAAAATAATAACAGCTGACCCCCGGTGATCTGTATATTAAAGTTTTCATACTATGTCTGATAAAGAAGAAAATTATGCTTATTTTGTAGTACAGTTTTCACTTGCACTGAGCAAAGGCTGCCACAAGGTGGCAGGAAAGATACATTTGAGAAAGGAGCAAGCAGAATCACTCACTTAACCTTTTTTGTTTATGCTCTGGGCCCCTTCTCAGAAGGATGTTTTTAAATGCATAAAATAAAATACATGGTAATATATGACCTCCTTTGAATGTATTAAACAACAATATCTAACAAAAGATCTAATAGGCCAGGATTTTGAAGCGCTGGTAAGTTTAAATATTTTAAGATAACTGCAACTGCAGTGTAATACAAAAATACCTGTGATCTCTATTAGTGACAAAATCTAAGGTACTGTTAATACTATTGTGACTTGTTTCCTACAGCCACTATTCAAGGAAATGTCTATTTTTAGTCAGAGGTTAATGAAAATAAAGACAAATTTCTCCCATCCAATTTCATAAGTCACATGAATTCTATCTGCAGACCCCGCTAAGATGAAGTATTAAGCCTTAAACTGTATTAGTTCCATGGGTAGTGATTACTAATGACCTGGTTGTTTGTAATATAGTTGCTGGTGATGTTACATAAACGCTTATCACATTTTATAAAATAGAAAATGTTTCTGAAACAATAGGTGTAAAATAAATCATTGTATCTTAATCTATTTTTCCTCTTTGTTTCCATCATAAAACTGAAAATTAAATTTTCCTATGGAAAAAAGGTGTGTTTCCCAAATGTAAGAAAATCATTTAAAAATGAATCAGGTTTTGAAAAACATTTAAAATGAAAACAAATTTCTGAAAAATATTTTTTCCTGATATCACAAAATAAATATAAAAATAGTTGTTTTTGCCTACTTACCACGCGCAGGGTATTACATGCAGAGCTTTGTGCATATTATTATACTGAATACTAAAAATAAGTATATGGCAACATTACTACTCTAACCCCCTTTTACTGAAGAGTGAGGGTTGTTACGTTTGCAGCCAGATAAACTTAGATTCATTCCTGGCTCCACCACTCATCAGCCGAGTGATACTGGTCGTTCCTAATCCTCCCTAAATTAAAATGTCCCTGTGTGTAAAAAAGGATAATCTAAAAGCATTATCTTTCTCAGGGTGGTATCCTGAGATAGTGCGTGAAAATTACGGCATCTTGCCAGGCACGCAGTCAGCTTATCAAGATGAGCAGTGACGCTCACATTTGTAACCCCAGGAATCCGTTCTCAATGTCCACCTCACGCAGTGCACCCGGAGCTTTTAACACAGGCGATTGATTAGTCCGTCCTCCTTGCAGCAGTCTCTGCGCTTGGCCTTTGGGATACCACTGGCTCTTGGTTGGGGTGAGGGGCACATTTACGTCACGGGCTGGCTCTTCATTGTCACCCTCCTCTTCATTGTCAGCCTCCTCTGCTACAGCCTCCTAATCCTCTTAACTTCAAAAACTTTGAGTACCCAAAGGGTTGAGTCCTTAGACCTCTCCTCTGAGGTCCTAGACAATCTCGCGCAGTCCCCATAGTTTTAAATTGCACATACAGGTTAAGACTGAAATTTATAAACCAGCCCAGGTCTCTCCTGAGGTCTCCAGATTCACGTTGCTAGCTGCTTACTCAATATTTGTACTGAGATATCTATTTAGCAGTTCTAATGTAACATGCCCAAAACCTAACATCCCCTTTGTCTTCCCCCCAAATTTGCTTCTCTCACATTTTTCCCTATCTCAGTAAATCTCAACTCCATTCCTGTAGTTTCCCAAGTGAAAGAGTCTCTCACACGGCACAGCCAGCGCACTCAGGAAATCCTATCCGCTCCACCTTCGGAGTCCAGTAATCCAGTCCCTTTTCACGACCTGCACCGCTACCCTCATGAAAGCCTTCTTCCTTTCTAGTCTCTTCTAAAACACACGTCACTCCTCTGCGCAAAACTGCCTAGCAGCCTCCTCTTCTCACTGAAAATCAAAAAGAAAAGCATCATTACGGCCCGTGGGGCCTAGCATTGCATTGTTTTCTGATCCCATCTTCCTATTGCCCTCACGGCACCACATCACCACATCTCGCTGGGTCTGTTCCAGCCCTAGTGGCCATTTCGCGATTCCCCCAGCGTGCCTCGGCTCTATTATAGCTGCTCTGTTCTCCTCCTTGAAGGCATTTCTCTGAGATATCTACAGGGCTTACACCTTCACCTCCTTCAGCTGTCGCTTTTCTAGAAGGCTTCCCCTGGCTGGCCTCCTTAATATTGCAAATCGTGCCAGCACTGCATATGCCTCTCCCTGTGTTCTTTTCCTGCCCGGCACTCACCATGATCCGAGAGATTGTTTCTTTTACTTAACGTATTTTCTGTCTCGCCCAGCTGGAATGTTATGTCCACGTTGGCAGAGATTTTTAATTTTTTGGCGCTGCTCTAATCCTAGTACCCGCAATACATTTGGTAAATGAATGACTAATTTTTTTTTTTCGTTTTAATTCTTTATCAGGTGCCACACAGTTTGTGCCGGACCCCAAGCTCATGGACCACGGGCAGTCCCATCCAGAAGATGTAGATATGTACAGCACTAGAAGCTGAAGTAGTCTACATAGGGAATTACAGATGTGTGAAGTTCCAATAATGAGGAAGAAATCATGTGATGGGTAATTGTGGCACATAAAGCATAACGTAAAGCAGATTTATCCTTTACACCTTCGAATGTGTAGTTTGACCGATCCCATAAGTGATTAAACACAAACAGGAAATGCAGTCCACACAGTATGAAATGATTGGTGAAGAGGCGGAAGCAGTAGTATTAGGATGCATTTGGTGAATTGTATTTTATAAAAAATAGAGTACATATGTGAACACTTAGGAGTCTGAAACCTGAAAAAATATGTATGTGCATATATAAATACATAAACACATATATATTTGCTTTAGCTTTTTCTAATGAATGCCAGCTAAATTCGAATGGTTTGTGGAAGGATACATTCCCTATCCTTCTCTTTTTTCATTTCCCAGAGTTGGAATAAAATATACCTATTTTATGACACTTGGGGTTGATGCTGTGTCTTTCTGTTGTTAATTTTGACACCTCCTCAATGTCCAAAAACACCTGTAACCATTTCAGGAGACTATGCTCCATGGGACCTCCAGCGCCGCTTAGCAGGCCCTGTGCGGTTCCTGGGCGCTTTCCTCTTCTGTTCCCCAGGAGAGGCTCTTATGAACCTCTTGTTCTCAGGCTCCTCTGCCCTCCAGAGGTAATTGTGTCTTTTATTACTTAGAGAAAAAAAATAAGCTATTAATTATGACCATTCACAACTTGTGCCCATTCACCTTGCAGACTTGCCTCTTTTCAGCCACGCCAGCCCCCGTTCAAAGGCCAATGCTTCTGTTCGGCTTCCTGCTCTTCTCCCTTCCCATCATGCCCACTACCGTGGTCTACCCGCGGTCTTTGGTTCTCTTTTCACTCATTTCCTTTCCTCGGCATCTAAAATAGCTTCCAATCGCCTTTATCTAAAAACAACAATAACAAAAAACCTTCCCCTGACCCCGCCTCTTCCTCTCCCTCCGCCTCTCCCTTGTCCTATCGTCACCTTTCGTAAAAAAATTCAAGGCACTTTCTCCCTCACTTTCAATTCCTAACGTGCAACACCGTGGCCTCCATACACACTTGAATTTCCTGTAACGACTCACTCTTGGCCGCTGCTCCTTGAAACACACGCGTCCCTTGGCTCTCTCATTCCTGCGTCTCTGGCTCCGGATCCCTCAGACACCCAGGCTCCGCAGGCCCTCTTCCTGGTCTTCTTGCTCAGTCGGCACGCCCTCTCGTTTTCCTTCAACATAGCTCACTGGCTGCAGGCGCCATGGGCATGGCATTACTGTGTTCCGGCTCCCACATTTCTGCTTTCTGGACCAACCTTTCTGGTTATTTCTTAGCCGTATCCATCTTACATCCCATAGGTAGCCTGTGTGTCAATATGCCTCAAACTAAATTGTCTCTACCTCTCTCTCCTCCTCTACGTGCCTCAAATCTGTCCCGCCGTCTCTTCTTGCTCTCATGTATGTCCTCATCCCCTTCCTGAATTATTACTACAGCAACCTCCTGCTTAAGCCGCCTGCCGTCGGTCTTGCTCTCTGTCACTTTGAAGTAACAGTAAGCCAGTAAATAGCAGGTTGAGTAAAGAAGAGCCTATTGCAAGTCTGGAATTAGGCAGTGCAGGGTTGGTACAGCATCTCATCGATGCCATCAAGCCCCTAGACATTTCTTTTCTCCACCCTGGTCTTTAGCATGTTGATTTGTCACCCCGTATTCACAGAATGGCTGCTACACCTCTGGAGAACGCGCGCACACACTCAAAGTAAGAGGAAGAGTTAGCACAAACTGTGCCAGAAGCTTCGGACCCCCCGTTTATGAGACAACAAAGTGCTTTCTTAGAACCCCTCTCAGAAGTCTTCTATGTCTTGACTAGAGCTTGTCCTGTAGCCACAGGTAGGTCGAGGAAGACTGGCAAATCGTGTTTTCTATGATCAGGAAGGCCAGTGGTCAGGGATTTGGAATGGCTGTGGAATCGGAGTGTCTGCTACCCTATTCTTCCCACCCATGTGCCATATTATCATGACATAGTTGTCTCTAAGCATTATAAATTATCTTTCTGAGATCGTCACTCACTCACCATCACCTACAGAACCAAAGACTCCTTAGCATGCAGACAAGGTCTTTCATGTATGATACCAGCTCGACTTTAACCCTGTCTTCTCCCCAGCACCCTGCTGCCGGTGCGTGTTCTATTTTATAACACACCACTTGCTTCTGTAACATGCTTTGCTCTTCTATTCCCCCCTCTCTCTTCCTGGGCTGGAATCCCCTCTTAGAATATTTTTCTGTCTCATCCTGTCCCATATTCCAACTTCCTTTTCCTTCCACCCCAATTCTGGTGTCACTGTTCTGGAAGGTAGGATTCAGATGCTCTCTCTTCTGCCTTCTCAGACACTTGGGACTTGGAGCTGTGATAGTCCATACAATTTTTTACAAAACTAAAACTAATATTTATTTTTTTACAAACAAGTCTCCACTTGGTACCTGCTTGTGGGTATAACTGAATCACCTTTGCATAGCTTTTATGCCCATAACATACCCTGGTCCATAGTAGGAGCTTGCATGTTCTAGCATGCTGCTTACGACACAGGATGCGAAAGCAATTCTATCAAAGAGCTTAGATTCTACTGTAAGGGATGGAAACATATACCGATACAGTGACATATGTAGTATCTGCCCTAAGCATAAGCAAAGAGCAGTGGAGCTCAACGATGAAATGTAGTTCTGGGATTATGTCACAGAGGCAGTGGCACTTGAGTGGCTCAAGGTGGGGAAGCAGTTCACTTAGTTTTTTATAAGCGAGCTCTTCAAAATGTAGCTTAATTATTTTAGATGATTTTATCCCTCACATTTATGTATGATCAAGCACATCCATATTTCATCAAATCTAAGACACACTATTTACCCCTAAGAAAAAGGTGCTGCCAGTTATTAGAAATACCCCGATTTCAGATATGTTAAGGTGTGAAATATAAGCCTCTAAAATTTAGTAACATTATGTGACTTGAATTATATGCTCTTCCGGATCATCAGCTGTGCCACTAGCCAATTAGTGCATAAGTTTGGACAATGGAGAAGTGACTATAGCTGCAAAATCTGTTTCAAAGTCAAAGGCTCCTACAAACCAGAGTTTAATTGCTTGCTTTATTGTACAACACTCAAAGTCAAACTGCTCTTGGAGGCAGGAGACATTAAATGTTGGGACAAGTTGTGATGAGGGCTCTTTCACTGTTCCCCTGCCAGGTACAGGAGTTTATCCTTGTTAATCCTGAACAGATAGCGGCCCTCCCGGGAGAAAAGGTCTGCGGTTCCTTGACAACTGGAGCGGTCAGGAGAAGCCTCGTTCGAAACGATGGCATGGAAGTGCATGCAGTTACATTCGCTTCTGAGGGCTATCTGTTTAAAAACAGAGATTACTTTTACTTGAAAGCGTAGTCTTCATGAACACGTTTATTTTGTTGAAGTTCTGTACTAGGTCCTACTGTTCAGTTTTAAAACACCCTTTTAAAGTCCAAACTGGATTTGCAAAGTCCTCTCACTGGTTTTTCTAGAAATACGATTGCACTGTTTGTTTTCTTTACAGGAAAAGTATACCTAAAATTATATTTTCAAAGTAAAAGGATGTAGTTTTATAATATTCTCATATTCATATGGTGGACCTATTTTATGGATAAAATTATCTTCTAATCCCCCTTTTGCTTACTTCTGCTTTATGGCAAAAAAAAAAAAAAAAACCACCTGTATAGTGTGGTTGTGGTTTATACAGAAATCAATGTTTAATGAAATATAGCTCAAGTATAACCTATATGAGTATCTGATTTGAAAATTCAGTTTAATGGAATATAAAATTTAAGTGTACTTTCAGGTTACATTCAAATGATGAGATAAATTATCTACTTTAGTCCCTGTTAAATAATACCATTTGGTCAAACAAAGATAACATATAAAATATGAATATTAATTTTAATACATACCTGACTAAGCCTCTTCAGTATTGCAGCTCCAATACCTAGACCTTTTAAAGATATAATGTAAAATGAAAAAATTCCATTTAACATGTTATTTGCTTCAGTTTGAAAGAAATAAAATGTGAAACCCCATATCTAGTTATATATTCTTAATAACTTATGTTGAAACTCAATTCATGAATGTTTTCCATATCTGTTTCCTAACTGAAATGTAGTTCCAAAGGTAATGGAAAAGATTTTGAATTTATCTTAATGATCAATGAGGAGGAAATGAGTCCTGTCACTAACATCTGATCACAGAGTATTTTTTTTATTCTTTTCTAGACAAGCCAACTCAAAATGTGACAGCATTTTGTAAAGGTAAAAGTATAGCTATAAAAACTCAGCTTATTAAAATCTTGATGGGAATTAATGAAATATTTTTCTAATCTGATTGAGTCTTCACCTTAAGACAGTGATCAGGCTCATGAAATAGAAACAAGTTCCATCAATTAACTTATTTATACTAAAGCCCTATCTTTACTCCTTAAATTACAGTACACCATTTTAATTCATAAAAGTATTAAGTGTAGCTTGACCTCGGTAGGACGCGGTGACAAAGAAGTCCTCTACGTAAAGTAACTTGCCAATCCAGGCGTTGTATGTAAAGTAGTACATGGCAAACCCAGCGGTCGCTTTGCCTAGGAAGAGCGGGTACAAAGACGTTAATGCTTTGGACTTAGTATGTTCTTTCTCCAAAAGAGACTGTCTTAGTGTGTGTTTTTAAACTATTAAAGTAATAAAAGTTTACTGGGCAAAATTTCAAATAATACAGAAATGCATAATGTAAAAGGTTTAAGTCCCTTATAATACAAACTTGAAGAGAGAAGCCATCTTGTAACAGTGTGGAATATATTCCTCCAAAATTTTTCTGTGAATACACAAACATAAACACATACCACACATTTTCTTTTTTTTAAAAAAAGTAAGTTTATGTATCTACGCTCTTCTCTTCTGCTTAATAGTAATTATATCCTATTAAACTGCATTTGGTTTCCAGGGTAGAAAAAAATGTACTCCAGATTAAATTGGAGGAGGGAGGTTTATTTTACCTGATGGTATTTTTGGATTGAATACTTCCGCAATCAGGCAGTAGAAAAGGGGATTGTCCCCAAAGCCATCTCTGAACAAATCTGAAATATTAATTTACATACAATCTGTTAGAAATTTTGCAGTAAAGAGAAGGTGGTAGAGTAGGCAGCCAGGAATTCAGCTCTTCATCTATACAACAGTCGTTCTGGAAGAAACTGTGTGAAGTGAGTATTTTGGAGCTCTAGGGTTTATGCGAACACTTGTGTCTTCCAGAGGAGAGCTTGGCTGGTAAATTGCAATTTATTTCAGTGAAATTCAACCAACAGCCCACTGGTGGCTTCCAAACTCCCACTTCCCACCTCAAGGCAGGCAGTTGTGGAAACTTGAATTGCTGGAGCCAAATACTGGATTTCTGTGCTCTGACCGTGGATTGCTGTCCTGAACACTGAGGTTAAGGCTTGGAGGTTGGCCACCATTTTTCTAACCTCTACCAACTAAAGCAGCTCAAAAAGCTAAAGGAAAATGTGCATAAAACAGGAAAAATATATGAACAAAATAAGAATGGGTACAGAAATAGAACTATAAAAAATAAGTATTTTAATTTTATATTGAATTAATGTATTTTAAATATTTTATTTAAATATTTAATTTTTAAATATTTTAAAACTGAAAATGTATAGTAACTGACATTAAATATTTTAAAGCTGAAAATGTAACTGGCATTAAAAAATGCACTATAGTGCTTCAAAATCGCATCTGAGCAAGGAAAGAAAAGAATCAGTGAACTTGTACATAGGAGAATTGAAATTATCAAGTCTGAGAAACAAAAAAAGGTGAAAAGTAAACACACCCTCAGGGACCTGTGGAACACCATCAAGCAGATGAACATATACATTATTCTTCTCATATGGAAAGAGAGAAAAGGAGGAAAATAGAATATTTGAAGAAATAATGTCTCAAAACTTCCTCAATTTGATGCAATACATGAATCTACCAATTCAGTAAGTTCAACAAACTCAAGTAGTATAAACCCAAAAAAAGATCAACATCAAGACATATTATAATCATGCTGTTGAAAGACAGATAAATCTTGAAAGCAATAAAGAGGAAGTAATTTGTCCCATATGATGGACCCTCAGTAGGATTATCATTCAGTTTCTCATCCGAAACTTTGGACGCCAGAGCAGTGTGTTGATACATTCAAAGTGCTGAGGGCAAGGGGAACCTGTGAACTGAGAAATCTATATGCCCCAGAACTGTCCTTCAAAGGCAGTGAAATTAAGATATCCCCTTAGCCCCCTCCAAAACACTCTGAAGGAGTTTATTATCATTAGAACTGCCCTGCATAAAATGCTAAAAGCAGTCCTTCGGGTTCAAAGGGAAGAAAGCTAGAGTTACTACTCAAAGCCATTTGAAGAAATAAAGGTGAAGGTACCTAGGTAAATAATTGGGGAGTTATAAGAACTGGTGTTATTTTAATATTGTTTGTAACTCCGCTTTATATTTTCATGATATGAAACATGCATAATATTAATCATTAATGTATGTTATTGGGCACACAATCTATAACTATGTAATCTGACATCAATGACCTAAAATGGGGGAATAGAGGTGTGTAGAAGTTTCTGTATGCTATTGATATCACACTGGCATCAATTCAAATTAGATTGTTATAATTTTACAATGGTAAATGTAATCCCCATTATAACCCCAAATAAAATATCTATAAATTATATACATAAGGAAATGAGAAGGGAATAAAAATATTTCACTATAAAAATCAACTAAATACAAAGAAGGTAGCAATAAAAGAAATGGGGGACAAAAAATCTATATGGCATATAGAACACAAATAGCAAATGACAGAAGTCCTGTCTTATCAGTAACTGTATATGGATCAAATGCTCTTATCAAAAGATGGAGATTGGCTGAAAGTGTTAAAAACCACATGATCCAACTATATACTGTCTATAAGAGATTAAGTTTAGATAAAATACACAAAAAGGTTGATAATGAATGATGGAAAAAATATTCCATGCAAAATAGCAACCAAAAAAGAGCTGGAGTAGCTGTACTAATATCAGACAAAATAGACCTTAAGTCAAAAACTGTTACAAGGCATATCCTGCCAAGATGGAGGTATAGGTAGATACGCTTTGCTTCCTCACACAACCAAAAGAAGGGTAACAACCAATTTAAAAACAAAAACAACCAGAACTGCCAGGAAATTGAACTGTATGGAGGCCCGATAACCAAGGAGTTAAAGAAACATCCATCCAGACCGGCGGTGGGAGGCGGAGAGGGCAGCCAAAGTGGAGAGGATGTGCAGGAAGGCGGCAGCTGGCCGACTTGGCAGTCCCATGTTTGCCTGTGGATAAACTGGGAGGAACAACTGGGGAGCGAGACAGACCAGGCAACCCAGGATTCCAGTGCGGGAGAAATAAAGCCTCAAAACCTCTGGCTGTAAAAATCTGTGGGGGTTGTGGAAGTGGAAGAAACTCCCAGCCTCACAGGAGAGTCCATTGGAGGGACCCATGGGGTCTTAGAATGTACACAAACCCACCCACCTGGGAATCAGGACCTGAAACGGCTCAATTCGCTTGCAAGAAGCAGGGAAAGTGACTGAAAGCCAGCCAAGAGCCGAACAAGTGGCATTGTTCCCTCTCTGACCCCTCCCCGATGGGCAGCGCCACAACACAGTGGGTTGCCCCACCCTGGTGAATACCCAAGCCTCCACCCCTTACAATGTAACAGTTGCACCAAGACAAAGAAATATGGCCCCAATAAAAGAACAGATCAAAACTCCAGAAAAAGAACTATGTAATGAGTAGATGGCAAACCTATCAGATGCAGAGTTCAAAACACTGCTAATCAGAATGCTCAGAGAAATGATTGAGTATGGACAAAATAAAGGAAGAAGGGAAGGCTATACAAAGTGAAATAAAGAAAAACATACACGGAACCAACAGTGAAGGGAAGGAAACTGGGACTCAAAACAACAATTTGGAACAAAAGTAAGAAATAAACATTCAGCTGGAACAGAATGAAGAAACAAGAATTCCAAAAATAAAAGGAGAGGCTTAGGAACCTCTGGGCCAACTTTAAACATTCCAGCATCTGAATCATAGGGGTGCCAGAAGGAGAAGAGGAAGAACAAGATATTGAAAACATATTTGAAAAAATAATGAAGGAAAACTTCCTCAATCTGGTGAAGGAACTAGACATGCAAGTCCAGGAAGCTCAGAGAGTCCCAAAGAAGTTGGACCCAAGGAGAAACACATCATAATTAAATTACCTAAGATTAAAGATAAGGAGAGAATCTTAAAAGCAGCAAGAGAAAAGGAGACAGTTACCTGCAAAGGAGTTCCCATAAGACTATAAGCTGATTTCTCAAAAGAAACCTTGCAGGCAAGAATGGGCTGGCAAGAAGTATTCAAAGTCAGGAAAGGCAAGGACTTATATCCAAGATTACTCTGTCCAGCAAAGCTATCATTTAGAATGGAAGGGCAGATAAAGTGCTTCCCAGAGAAGATAAAGGAGTTCATCATCACCAAGCCCTTATCATACGAAATGTTAAAGGGACTTATCTAAGAAAAAGGAGATCAAAAACTATGAACAGTAGAATGACAACACACTCACAACTATCCACAACTGAACCTAAAAAACAAAAACAAACTAAACAAACAACTAGAACAAGAGCAGAATCACAGAAACGGAGGTCACATTGGAAGATTATCAGCGGGGAGGGGCGGGGGGAAAGGTGGAAAAGGTACAGGAAATAAGAAGCATAAATGGTAGACACAAAATAGACAGGGGGAGGTTAAGAATAGTATAGGAAATGGAGAAGCCAAAGAACTTATACGTACGACCCATGGACGTAATCTGAGACCGGGGGGTGAGGGGAGGGTAATGCTGGAGGGAGGGGGCGCAGGGTGGAGGGGAAAAAGGGGAGGAAAAAATGGGACAACTGTAAGAGCATAACCAATAAAATATACTTAAAAAATAAAAGGACATTCACTTACAAAAATAAATAAATGCTTGTAGAAATGTATATTGTAGAAATGCAGGAGTCCCCAAAAATATACGCACAGAGTTGTTAAATACAGCACCAATTGTAATAGCAAAAATCTAGAGGTAACCTAAATATCAGTGGAAAGCTAGTTAAATGAATTATGGTATTATAGCAATATAATGTAATTCTCTGTAGCCATAGAAAAGGGTAAGGGAGACCTGGATGTGCTCATGTGGAAAGTTCTCCCAGATATATTTGTAAGCATGAAAAATAAATATTAAAAACAAAGATCCAAACAGTTTGTATGCTCAAAAAAAAAACTGTTACAAGAGACAAACGATGTTATATAATGATAAAAGGGTGAATTCATCAAGAAGATAATAACATTTATAAACATTTATACATGGAGTGTCGTTGCTCCAAAATATATGAACCAAATATTGACAGAATTAAAGACAGGGGCAGATCTACAATAATAGTAGGATATTATGTAATGGTGAAAGGAAACCAGTGTCTCACTTTCAATATTGTATTGAACTGGGCAGGGTAGATAATAATAGTAAATCTATTAATATTAATATATTAATAGGAAAATAAATTAATATATTATTTAACAACATTATGGATCAATTGGACCCACCAGAAATATACATTACATTCTGCCCCAAAACAGCATAGTGCACATGGAACTTTCTCTAAGATAGACCATATATTAGGCAACAAAACAAGTCTTAATAAATTTTAAAAGGCTGAAATCATACAAAGTATATTTTCTAGTCACAATGGAATGAAACTAGAAGTCAACACAAGAAGGAAACTAACAAATTCACAAATATAGCGCACACTTAACCAATGGGTCAAAGAAGAAATCATGAAGGAAATTAGAAAACATTTAGAGCCCTGGCTGGTGTGGCTCAGGGGACTGAGCGCCGGCCTGCAAACCGAAGAGTCCTCGGTTCCATTCCCAGTGTAGGGCACCTGCCTGGGTTGGGGGCCAGGTCCCCAGGAGGGGGTGTGTGAGATGCAATCACACATGTATGTTTTTTTCCCTCTCTGTCTCTCTCCTTTCCCCTCTCTAAAAAATAAATAAAATCTTTAAAAAAAAGAAAACATTTAGAGATGAATGAAAATGAAATAACATATGCAATTTACTGAATATAGTGAAAGCATTGCTCAGGGGGAAACTTACCACTGCAAGTGACTACATTAAAAAAGAAGATGATGAAGGAAAAGGATGAAGAAGGAGGAGGAAGGGGAAGAAGGAAGTAGAGGAAAAAGGAGGAGGAAGAGGAAGAAGGAAGAGGAAAAAGGAGGAGAAGGAGGAGAACTCAGGCCATAACCTAATCTTACAAGTTAAAGAACTAGAAGAAGGAGCAAACAGACTAAGAAGAAAGGTAATAATAAATGATTAGAACAGAGAAACAGAATAGAGGATTAAAAATACAAACCAAAAACAGATGTTCTGAAAAGATCAACAAATAGAGAAATCAACAAATAGATAGCTAGACTGAGAAGAGAGCTAGTAATTCAAAAATGAAGCACTATTAAAAGGATTATAAATAAATAGTACAAATAGTATAAAATGTACACCAACAAATTAGATAACCTAAAAGAAATGAACAAATTTCTTGGAACTAACAAATTACCTAACCATATTTAAGAAGAAATAAAATCTGTGCAGACCTGTAACAAGGAAAGTGTTTGAAACAGTAGTCAAAAATCCCCTAGCATGGAAAAGTCAGGGACCATCAGAATTCACTGGGGAATTCTACCAGACATTTAAAGAAGAAGAAGAAGAAGAAGAAGAAGAAGAATCTTTCTCAAAAATTTGCCAAACAATTGAGGAAGAGGGAATGTTTCCTAACTCATTCTATGAAGTCAGCATTATTCTGATAGCAAAGACAGATAAAGTCATTGCAAGAAAGAAAATTTCAGAAAAATAACCCTTATTAATAAAGAGGCAAAAGCCCTCAACAAAATATTAGCAAATCTAGCATAATATATTAAAAGGATCATTCATCATGATCAACTGTGATTTATGCTAGGAATGAAAGTATAGTTCAACATAGGGAAGTCAATCAATATAATACATCATTTTAACAGAGCATATATGACCACAACAACTGATGAAGTAAAGGCATTTGAAAAAATGACAAAAACCCTTGGAAAAGTAGGAATAGCGGGAAATTCCTCAATATGAAAAAGGGTACTTAAAAAAGAAACAGTTTCATATGTAACGGGGCACAGCCAGGGCCCCCCAAAGGGTATTTGTAACGGGGTCCAGAGATTGGGGTGTCCAAGAAAAATATATTCTCCCCACCCCAGGGCGGGCCGCCATGGGAGATGGGAGCCTGGAGCAGGGCCACGGAGCGTCATTTTGCATGTCAATAATAGTCATTCCTCATATGGAAAAAGGGTTATTTTGCCTATCACCAAAGCTAACCCGGAAGGTTTCAAAGTCTCAGTGCAGAATGTAACTAGGGAGGAGGAGGAGAGACAGGGGCCTGCAGGAGAGAGAAAGGGACACAGACTCTGAGGAACAGTGTGAAGACCACGCGGGAAGAAAGGGGAGAAAGGACTCTTGCTCGTGGGCCCTGAGAAGGGGCCACGTGGTTATGGGTTAAGAACTGGAGATCGCGGCGACGCAGCGGACGGTGCTGAGACCCGCGAGAGGCCTGCCGAGCCGAGCCCCGGGCTTCTGGTCTTTTCCTTCCGAAGGACGGTCCCCCTGACTGGCCTGACTGGGCAAAGGGGGGAAGGCTGGATGGTGTGGGTGCTGGTGGTTGTTTTGAAGGGAGTCTGAGGTTTAAGGGCGACATTTAGCCATTCATCAAACCTGTGTAACTTTTGAATAAATGGTTCCTTTTCCTTTTCACCAAACTCTGCCATTCAGAGCCATAATTCCAAGGGCGGCAGGCAAAGGACCCACAACCGAGGGACCCGGAGGAAGGGAGGTGTTGTTTCGGTAATAACATCTGGGCGCCACCCCCCGCAACGGGCCCATTTGTTCGGTAACACATACTCAATGGTCAATCACTGAGAGCATTTCCCCTCAGATTAGTAGCAAAATAAGGATGTCCGTCCACTCACCGCTGCTTGTCAACATCGTACTAGAAGTTAGAGCCAGAACTATTAGACACTAATAAGAAATAAAAGCCACCCAAATTAGAATGGAAGAAGCAAAGTGACGTGTATTCATAGATGACATAATCCTATAGATAGAAAATCCAAAGAATGCAAAAGAAAGCTACGGGAGCTAATAAATGAATTCAGCAAAGATGGAGGTTACAAGATCAACAACAATTAAAAAAAAAAAAACAGTTTTGTTTCTATACACCAGCAAAGAAAAAACCGAACAGTAAATTAAGAAAGCAATTCCATTTACAATAGGCCATAATAAATGCCTAGGAATAAATCTAGCCAAGGAGGTGAAATAGTTGCATTACTGAAAACTATAAAACATTGGGGAAAGAAATAAAAACCTAAGTAAATCAAAAGACATGTGTTCATAGATAAGACTTAACATCATTAAGATGTCAATAATACCCAAAGTGACCTAAATATTCAATGCAACCATATCAAAATTTCAACATCTCTTTTCAGAGAAACGGTAAAGTCTATCCTCAAACTCACTAGAAATTCCAAGTATATAATTTTATATGCTTTAACCATCTCTTAGTGTTCATATATCCTGCCTAAAAAGTTCTAATTCCTCATAAAACACTAGCTTATCCTATTAATATTTCTGGCTATCAAAATGTAGTAAATATCTTGAAAATAGTTTGTCATTTTGCTCTTATCTATTTAATTTTATCAAGCAACTACCAACACATTGAGCATTACATTACACTTTCCTTGACCAATTATACTTCCCATTCTACATTTTGAAAATTAGTTGAATTCTGTTGCAGCTGTAAAGATTTAAAATTCCTTTTTTGCTTTATTTTTATTGTTTACACTGTTAAATGGTGATTTCATAATAACAAAAATGGAAACTACAGTGGCGCACTGGCAAAGCTATCAAAGTTATGTCCTGGGCATGGGGACACTGCTAATGGCTGAAGTCGAAATATGTCATATTTCTTTTTCTAGCTCCAAAAATACCATAAAACATCTTACCATTTGCTGTTAACTTCACTACATTTGGCATGTTCTCAAAGGCAGCCGATTCCTGTCAAAGTAGAGAAAACTTTTAGTTTCTGGTTTAGTAATGAATTCTTAAGATGATAGTCATGATGTTTTTATTCAGTGTTTATTAAAATATGATGTTCCAGGTGGTATGAAAAGTAAGATTTAACCTCAGTCTTCTAGAAACTTTAAATCTAATGCAGCACATGCAACAAAGGATTATCTACAGAGAGATTAACTATGTTGATATGTCATATGAAAGTCAATTGTCCAGGTAACTAGCCCTAAATGCAACCAGAAATTAGGAAGTAAAACCCAAAAGTTTCCTGAGCACTCAAGGTAGACATCACAAAGTCTATGTATCATAAAGCTCATACACTTTACAGAAAAGTCTATCCTGTTGCCTGAGAGATGTTTTTCTCCATTTAACTTTAGACTTTATTTGCTTTTCGCAAGGTCATTTTTTTAAAGATTTTATTTATTTATTTTTAGAGTGGGGAGGGGAGGCAGAAAGAGAGGGAGAGAAACATCCATGTGGGGTTGCCCCTCATGTGCCCCCTACAGGGGACCTGGCCCACAACCGAGGCCTGTGCCTGGACTGGGACTCGAACCCTCAACCCTTTGGTTTGCAGGCTGGCACTCAATTCACTGAGCCACACCAGCCAGGGCTGTACAAGGTCATTTTTTACACAATCAAATTATTTATACTTTGGATTTCACCCTTGGAAAGACATCCCCACTTTCAGATTATAAAAATAGTCACTCTTGCTCTTTTAATTTTTTAATTTTTTTCCAGTTTTATTGAGATATAATTGACATGTAACACTGTATTAGTCCAAGGTGTACAGCATAACAATTTGAGATATGTATATATTAAGAAATGATTACCACAATAAATTTAGTTAACATCAATCATCTGATATAGTTACATTTCTTTTCTTGTAACAAGAACTTTTAAGGTCTCTCTTAGCAACTTTTAAAAATGCAACACAATATTGTTAAGTATAGTCATCATACAATACAGTATGGAAATAAATGGAATATACATAAATGAAAAATCTGGTAAGCAAGAAGTTAATAGAAAATTGTAATTTATGGACAGACTTCAGGAGTCAAAGGACTGTTTGAAATTGTACAGAAAATTGGTTGGTGGATGAATATTGTTTCTGGATAGTCAAACATTAGCTTGTACAAGTAGGAGTGGTCTTTAAAGCAACAAGACTCTCTACCCTAAGATCTTAGCCAGCAATACCTGAAATGCTATTGCTAACAGGTCATTTGTTGGAGTTAAGCACTCGTTTTCTCTAACATCCTTTTTTAAAGTTACAATTTCCCTAGGAGGGTCCCTAAAATTTATAAGAATTGGTTCCCCCCTGATTTTTCAAGCCCCCATTATAAGTCAAGCAATTTATGTGTAATCATTTTATGTTACTCAATCATTACAAGAATCTCTTGATATTGGTAGCACTATGTTATTGACTTTTGATGTGGAAATTGAAGCTTAGAGAGGTTAAAGTAACTTCCAAAAGGTTGTGTACACAGGTCACAATTAGCAGAACCAGGATTTGAACCCACCCTATCCATTCTTTAAGCCCTAAACCAAAGCCACAAAGCTCCACAGAACAAGGGGGAAAAACTTACTTGAATTAGGTACAGAATTCTTATGCAATCTCGAGACTCTGCAGCTCTTATTTGGAAAAAGTTCGTGCTTGGTTGCTTCATGCATGGTTGGCTTGGGCTTGTCATGTTTGGTTGCCTCATGGCCGGTTCCCTCATACCTGATTGGCTTGGGCCTGGTTGCTTCATACCTAGTTCACTTGGGATGGATCGGCTCTGGCCTAGCTGCAGTTGACTCATGGCTGCTATATTCAGGTATGGCTGCTTCATGCCTGGTTCACTTGGGATGGATTGGCCCAGGCCGAGCTGCAGTTGACTCATGCCTGATTTACTCAGGAGTGGTTGCTTCATACCTGGTTCAATCATGTTGGACTGGCTCTGGTTTGGCTGCAGTTGACTCATGCCTGGTTTACTTGGGTGTGGCTGCTTCATACCTGGCTCATTCGGGTTGGATTGGCTCCGGCCTAGCTGCAGTTGACTCATACCTGGTTTGCTCAGGTGTGGTTGCTTCATACCTGATTCAATCATGATGGACTGGCTCTGGTTTGGCTGCAGTTGACTCACGCCTGGTTCACTCAGGTCTAGTTGCTCCATGCTTAGTTGACTTGCGCTACAGTGGCTTCTGTATAATTTGCTTATGAAGAGTTGCTTCACACGAGGTTGCATCAGGCCTGGCTGGCTCATTTCTAGTTCACTAACTCCTGGTTGGCCCATGCCTGGTTGACTCACGACTGGTTGTCTCATGCCTAGTTGGTTCATGTCAGGTAGGCTTGTGCTTGGTTGGTTCATGTCCAGTGGGTTCATACTAGTGTCTCTCTGGCTGGTGCCTGATTGGTTCATACCCCGTTGATTCGCGCCTGATTGGCTGAGGACTGGTTGATGGATGATGAGTTGACAGCCAACTGGTTGGCCGATGACTAAGTGCTTCGATGGAATTGGCACCATTAACTATAACGCTGTGGTGGGAGGCTATAGGGTGTTTCTGGCTTTTCTCAACCTGACTCGTAACTCGAGCTACCCCTCTATCAAGATGAGAATGAGAAAAACAAACGAGGGCTACCTAAAGATTATCGATGCCTCCAACTCGCCGGAGTTGACCTCACCAGCGATCACAGCTGTGGGCTCGGCTGGCTGGGTTTTAGGTTGTCATCTGACCTTTCTCTGCCGACAGGCCTGAAGTGAGTGGGAGAAGAAAGTGACTCCGGGGCAGTATTGCTGCCTCAGCCCCTCCCAAGGCCACTGCGACAGTAATCGTGACGTCACAATGGCCGTATCTAAGTGCCTAAGTGCTCCCCCGCGTGGTGAGAGGAGGACAAGGCAGAGCCCGCATTGTGACGTCACAATGGCTGTATCTAAGTGCCTAAGTGCTCCCCCGTGTGGTGAGAGAAGGACAAGGCAGGGCCCACTATTTCCCCCTCCCCAAGAGCTTAAGAGCGTAAAGCAAGAACTTGGAAGGAGTCTCAGAGTTTATGCTTGGAGCTCACCCTGAACGCGTGCTCTTTTAACCAACCAATTCAAAGAGACTTGCCTAATCCTTCCTGCTTTCCCATGCCCCAGTGCTGAAATAATTCACTTCCTATTTCACAGAGAAATGGGAATGCTTAAAAGGGTTATGCTCGTGTGGCACTCAAGTCCTTAAAGCAGAAAAATATTTCTTTACAAATCATTAAGAATAACTATAATCACTATGTATTTAGTCCTTTTTAATCCCAGGCTCTCTGGGAAGCGCCTTTACATTTTCTCATTCAATCCTGCAGCAACCCTACTATCTCCAGTTCTGAGGAAACCTGCTCAAAAGATTGGGTAAATTAATCAAGGCCTCAGTAGTTGGCAAAGAACCAGAATTCGTACCCATGTCTATCTATTCAGTGATCATCACACTATGCTGCCTCTTACACCGTTTTTATTTTCTATCTCTGTATCTTTTAGCAGGTGTATTGTTCTTTCTGAGTTTTGTTTCCGATCATTTCATCCATTGGCTCATTTCCTCAACATTATGTAACTAGCGCTAATGTTTTTGTAAATGAAGTGTATTTTATTTTGGAAATATACCGGATAACCTTGGTTGAGGCTGTTCTAAGACAAACAGTGCTAAGAGGTTTCTATGTGCATGATTTCACTTAATCATCAAAGCAACCTTGTGAAATATGTACTGTTGTTCCCCATTTTATCAAAAAGAAACTGAACTGAGAAAAATTCATTGCCTCAAGTGTAATTGGCGCCAGGAGGGGGACAGACAGAAAGTCATTCCTGTCAACAGAAGGGTTCTCATAGAACCGTATGAATTTTTTATATAAGGATATATACATGGATAAACACTTACCATTTATCCTATGCTGGCTATAAGTGGAACCCACAGAGCCCACCTTCTTAGCATGACAGGCAAATCAAGTCACATCACAGAATGATGCCAAACGTAACACTTAGGAGATGTGCCTTGATCCACTTGTAATAATAACGGTAGTGTCAGGCATGGTTCTAAGGAACATTTTGCTGTATTAAGTCGTTTAATCGTCACAACAATCCAATTAGGTAGGTGATATTATTAGGCCTGTTCTCAGGTGAAGAAACTGAGATTCAGAGACATTAGGTAATTTAGGTCACACAACTAAAAGTCCAGGTAAAATAAGGATATCTCAGTTATCGTTTTGTTTTTTTCTGAAAAACCAAAAGCAGAATAAAGACATTTTGCTGTTTGCTTGCAAAATCAAACCACTTGCATAATTTTTGTGGAGATGGATGCCTTTATTTTTGGTTTTTGGTATTTATTTATTTGCTTTTTTAGAGGAGGCACGTGTTAGGTTTCCAGTTGATGACCTAAAGGGATTAAAATAGAAATTACAGTTTTGGTGATGGAGAACTATTGATGAGTTTCTTTGGTATTTTTACTTATGAACATTTATATCACTTGAAGGCCATTTAGGTGTTAGTATTTTTTTCTTTTTAAAGAATGTTGCCCTGGCTGGCATGGCTCAGTGGATTGAGCTCCAGCCTGCAAACCAAAGGGTTGCCAGATCAATTCCCAGCCAGGGCACAGGCCTGGGTTTTGGGCCAGGTCCCCAGCAGGGGGCGCGTGAGAGGCAACCACACATTGGTGTTTCTCTCCTCTTTCTCCCTCCCTTCCCCTCTCTCCAAAAAATAAATAAATAAAATATTTTTTTTAAAAAAAGAATGTTGTGTAACAACATTATACGTTGTGATTTTAAGGGAATGTGCCAAAAATGCATATTCCTGCTCACAGTTCCTTATTAATGCAACATGTCCCATTAGGGACAAAATAGTGGTTTTGTTTGTTTGTATTTTAATATTTATTTTTTTAACAATGCGTTTGATTTTTATTTCATGAACATAGTATTTGCAATTTGACAACCACATGCCCTTCAGTTTTACTGTTTACTTTACAATGAAATATTGATATAGGATTTTTTTCATGCAAGTTATGGGAGATTATACACTGCAAAAACACTCCAGAAATCAATATATATGTACATTTACATATTAACTTTATTTACTGTAAATAGAAATGTCTTCTAAGAAAAAATAAGAAAATGAGAAATCACTTGTGGCTTCTGGTCTACCACAGACCTAACTTCTAGTCAAAGCACATCTATGTAGATACATGCATGTTAACTTTAAAAATGTGCATTGCTTCAAATGAAGCATTGAATGCTTCTTTGTCTATACGTAGCTTGCATTTGGACTTAGTTTGGTCCCATGTTAAAGTGCCCAAACGTGTTCTGTGATCCCGAAGACACTTGCTTGTCTGGGTCCAGGGTCGGCCTGCTGACCAAGGCAGCTGCCGCGGCCACCCAGCGCCCCTCAGCACCTCCTGCCCTCTCTGGGGCGGGGGTGGGGGGGGGGTGCATGTCTTTGTCTGGGATAACAGTTCAGCACTGAGCCCCGAGGTGGGGCAGGGGAGAGGATGAACCGACGGTGTTGAGGATCAGGCACCAGGCCTGCCCAAGGGTGTAGTGGGAGCGACAGGTGTATGACTGTGAGGACCGTAGTGTCACAGCAAAACCTGGCATTAGATGATCTCAGTAACACTCTGGTGGCAAGGGACATAGCCTCTAAGCACCACGGCGCTCTGCACCGTTCCTGGGCCACAACCATCGAGTGCGTGTCCTTCACAGGCGACCAGGGAAACACTCCACATCGAGTGTTTCCTTAGGGTGCACTTCTCCCGACCTCGCTCTGAGGCCAAACCCAAAAGACAGAAAAGCCCTGTAGCCGCAGGATCCTACCTGGGTCTGACAAAGAACAGAGAATGTCCACGCGAGAAATAACTGATCTGTCGGCGCTGAGGGCCACCCTGGGGGTCGCGCTGTCCTCAGCGGTGTTCCGTCGCGGGGTGCTGGCGGCGTCTCTGTTTTCTGTTTTCGCAGAAGACGGGAGGCCCAAGTGGCGCACGTACCAGTCAGGCATTTCAAGGGTGGCTTGTCTTTCTCAAACAGCGAAGTTCTGGATTTGAGGTATCGGTACAGTAACAAAGCCTAAGAACCTGGGAATAAGCCATGAAAGCCAGTTTGACAAGCAGACAAGCATGTCGGAGAGTCACGGGCTGCGACCCTTTGCGGACTGAAAGCTACGTCCAGGTCAGCAGCACCCAGGCCAAGGGCCCGCAGCTGCCAGCCTCCGCAAGGCGACTCACAGGACAGCGACTTCTGCCACTGGAATCTTCGCCTAAGTGCACAGGTCAGCCTGAGGTTTTCTTTCTTGCGCTTGGACTTTGCACAGGGGTGTGAATTCGCGGTCGGGGCGGCGGGGGGTGGGGGGAGTTGGGGGCGCTTCTGCGGGGCGAGGGGCCCGCCACCGGGACGGCCCAGGTGGGTGGGGGCGGTCCTGGCAGCGGAAATAACGCCCCCAACAAAAAAAGCGCGTGTCACTAGCCCTGTCCTGAAGGCCCAGAGGCATCCTGGCCCAGCCCGCGGCCCCCAGCCCCCGTCCACTTGCAGCCTCAGTCCAGCTGGGGGCGGGGGGTGCGGGGGCCCCCGCAAACGTGCTGCGGGCGGCAGCCTGACCGCCTGGCCGGGCGCCTCCGCCAGTTCCCCGGCCCGTGCGCGCTGGGGGCTTAGACTAGTGGTTACAGGAGACGCCAAGGGTCCCACGTCATCCCATTTCTACTTATATACCTACTCGTTATATTCAGAAATCTGGTCAATGATCAGATCAGTGACAGAAGCTTCCATTTTGCCTAAACGTTTTGAGTAGCGAAGACAGTGGTCACAAGCTGGCCTGAACCACGTGTTCCGTTGAACCGTAGGAAAGTGCTGCTGGCTGGGGGCGGGGGGCGCAGGGCAAGCAGTGCCATATTGGCAGTTTCATACGGTTCAGCACACGCGCATCTCGGCTGGCGTCCAGCAGGTATGGGACAGACACCCCAAACTGTAAATTTTAACGATTGGCCTCTTTATAAACTATCTGTGGAGCCACTCAGGCTGAGCTGAGGAGGTCCCAGGGGAAGCGGACACCTAAAGGAAACAGGTCGCCTGCCTGTCCCAGGAGGGACAAGGGACCCCACACAGCAGCGGCATTCAGACCACGCCCCGGTGGGCCCCTTGCCCCGCACAGGGGAGCCCCGGCAGCAGCGCCTGCCCCTGGCTGCTGCATATACAGTGCCTACATAATTTTTTTTTCAGTGCACAGTAAATACTTATGCCAGGAGTTCAATTTATTGCTGCCATTGTAAAACTACTACTATTAGAAAATATCTTTCATTATAATTTCACCGTGGCTGGTGTGGCTCAGTGGATCGAGGGCCGGCTTGCAAACGAAAAGGTTGCCGGTTCGATTCCCAGTCAGGGCACAGGCCTGGGTTGTGGTCCAGGCCCCCAGCAGGG